AACACACACCATTCCAATCATCACAGACACACATCATCATGGAAACAGACGCACCAAAACAAAGTCACAGATATACACGCATTAACACAGTTACAAACATTCATAATAAAACACAGAGGCACATACATTAAAAGACACAAAGTCCCATACATAGACATAAAATCACAAACACGGGGGCATGGCCAGCTGAGCAACTTGCCAGACGTCTATACACAGGGCTCCGATGTGACCCACAGTAAAACGTCTTCAGCCACACAAATATCTAGTCTGAGACTAGAACACTCACTACCCCCAGCAGATAACACTATGGGGAGCAAAAATAGGAAGCAAAACCGTACGGAAAGCCTTTGCCTACCTGACATCGGGCTCTCCTTTGAGAGGACAAGCCACCAAAACTGCCTAAGATGGCACAAAACGATTCCCACGAGGAGGAGGAAACACTCATCTCTCCTCGAGCCAGTGGAGAGTACCTTTGGTAAATGGAGTGGAGATGACAACTCCACTCTGTCTACCAAAGGAGACATCAGAAGGCTCCTGGTCGACCTGAGAGACGTTTGGAAGGCCGATCTTAAAGAGGCTCAGGCCGAAATTGGAGTGATACACAATAAGATTACAGCAGTGGAAGAGAGGGAGACAGTCAGAGAATGCCAGATCCAGGAAGCACAGAGCCAAATCAAGGGGCTCACCCAGCAAGTCCACCAACTGAGTCGTGCAGTAGCTACAATGGAGGCCCACCATAGACAGCGGAACATCGGTCTTCAAGGAATTCCAGAGAGTGTGGGAGGAGAGGCGTTGCTGCCCTTTGACCGTGGCCTAACCACCTTCATAGGCATTCAGGGGTGCAATGATCCCCCACAAATACAGTCAGTGTTCAGGGTACGCAAGTCTGCCACAGCGCCGGCCGAAGCCCTTAGAGACACTATCGCTGTCACGAGAGACTTGGCAGTGAAAACCGCAAATTTGAATTGCTCCAGGATCTTGGGGACCGTCACCTATGAAAACTGCTCAGTTTCAATATATGGATACCTACCATTTTTGGCACTGACAGAGAGGAGGCAGTTAGCACCAATCGCCAGAAGGCTGAGGGACCAGTCTGTCAAATACAGATGGGGTTTAGAAGGCTCACGCTCCATCATGATGAGGAAACACTCATGCTGTCATCCTCCGAAGACCCGGAAGTGTTCCTCCAACAGCTGGGACGGAACCATACCACCCACTGAGACCCTGACCGGGGGAAAGGCTAAACAGAAGAGAGGGGACAACCCGCAACCACCTGTTGGCTCACCCAGAATAGCTACTAATCAACAGTGATCGATACCGAGCAGCAAGGTTTTACAGTAGGGCTTTGCAATACTACGATTCCTATGACAGTGATTGCCACACAAGGCCTTATGTAGGCACCATGGAGATAGCCCTAATGCCATGCTTTCCCATATGATCATGTATTTTGTTCTTCATGCTCCAGTTTTTTGTTTTTTTTCTTTCACGAATAGCCTTTATATTATAATACTCACAGACAAAGGCACAGATGTATATGTATGTACAAACCTTCGTAAAAATACAAATTAATTTTTTTTTTTTATATGTGCTGCATATATTTGTAGCTCTGGCATATTTCCTAATATATTTCAGATTTTTTTTTTTTTAAAGCTATTCGCAGTTTAAGAGCACCATTGCAATACTTTGTAATTAGTTATGAGTTGGCTATTAGTGTCCAAATTTTAAGTATGTGCCCATGCTATTATTAAGATTGGACAGAACAAAAAAAAGTGAGGGGATTGGGCGGTTTAGGGGTTACACTGACAACCCAGTATCAAAGAACTTATGCATTCTGTTTACCCTTTATTCTCCCAACTTTGTAACAGACAACCAAGCTTCACTGTTTATTCATTTAACTATTAGGAAATAAACACATGTCCATAAAAATAAACATTAAAAAAACAAAACAAAACACAAAACAAAAAAAAACCCTCAAAGATACATAGGTCCCATAAATACATAGGTAAACAATAGCGGGTACAGAGTCACACACAGACTGCTTATGAATAGCAGGTTGGTTGGTAAATTAATTGAATTGGTGTTTAGGTGTGTTATGTGACAGGGCAGGTAGATAGTTACTCAGCAGAGTATTGCTGGTGTAACACCACCTACACTCAGCAGCTCCTTTGCCAGCCACATACTGGGGGGTTTCTAGACTGCATTTTAAAGCAGCCACTCACTCTCCTGAGTCCTACCGTGTTCCGAGCTGCGACAGTCTTCCCTGAAGCACCCCGTCATTCAAGTACTTGGTCACAAATGTCTCCCCTAATGATCCTGGTGGTACAGTGGTATGCTATATCCGTTCCCTGGCAGTCCGGTGGTGAATAGCAGAAAGCGCACGTCCTGTTGTTTCAGGTCATAATACCCACTCTTTCACGGCTCCTGCTTACAATCTCATCAGAGTGCAGGCTGAGAATCTCTGAACCTGTGCTCTGACTCACTGAGTGCCAGAACTATGAGGGAGAGGATAAGATCAGACCGCACCTACTGCTGGTGCACACCAGTGTTCCATCAGGGAATCGTTGAAATTGAATATGCTGGTGTCCCCAACTTGCTAGCTGTGTTGGCCACCAGGCACCACTGTTGTCATGGCGCCCTGCGAGACACCGTGTGTGCTGAATGTGGTGTGTGTATAGAGGATATGAAATGTGCGTACTGGACGCAGAGTGCGTATGTAAAGTGGATGCAGAATGTGTGTGTGTGATGGATGGAGGGTGTATAGTGAATGTAGAGTGTTTGCATAGTGGATGCAGAGTGTATATGTAGTGGATATATTGTGTGTATAGTGAATGCAGCGTGTGCTTCTTACCTGTGACCAGGGAGGTGGGAGATGACATTCCCGCTGGCTGAGTGCAGGGAGCCAGGTGCTGTACACGGCAGAGTGGGCCCAGCCAGCGCCATATTTACTTCCCAACTGATTCTCTCTTCTCTCGCGAGTCTTGCCTATGTGAGCGCGGAGCATTGCTATGGTAACCCGTGGCAACACTTACGTTCGCTGGGTTCCTGAGAGGTAGAGATAGAAGATCAGCTGGGAAGTAAAGACGGTGCAGGCTTGGCCCCCTCTGCTGTATACAGGTAGCCGGGGTGCCCGGAAGTGCACATACTTATAGAGATAGTCTCTATATGTATGTGTACATAGAGAATGTGGGGCCCGGGCTCCCCAAGACCGCCGGGCCAGTGGCAACCTTCATGGTTGTCCCCCCGTGATGGTGGTCCTGCACACACCCTCAATGACACTTGCTGACAGACACATTTACACAGTCTTGCGCGCACACTCACAAATTATATTACTTGTTACTCCTACCTTTAGGAGTCCTCTGCCCAGGGTCCAGTGGCTTTTATGATCTTCTTGCTCCTCTCTGCTCCCTCTCACTGTTTAGTGATGCAGGGCCGGAATGATGTCATATTCTGGCTTCTGGCATCACCACAGAGGACGCTGGAAAGCAGGAGGATAAGCTCCCTCACCACCGTCTGCCTCCTTCCTCACCCTGCCAGGTATATTACTGCAGAGTAGGCACCTGCCGTCTGGGATAAGCAGGTGCCTACTTTGCATTGCTAAATAAATCATAGAAACTGTAGTTTTAATACATCTGTGGAACTACCTTTTTGGCACCCCTGCATTTAAGGCATGAAAAGAATCATGGGAGTTTTAGTTCCACAACACCTGCATTTATCATATGTCCATTACTACTTACCACCTTAGAACGAAAATTAACAACCTGGTTCTCATACAAGAATAAGAAAGTGTAAAAACCTTTCCTTACATTACATTTTCACAAGTACAGCAATAGGTGTAGTCCATAATATTTGTTAAAGGGCACATTGGAAAAAAAAAAACTGTAGGTCAAGCCAGACTACAAACTATTATTGATACAGAATCTAATGCCATTACGCTCAAATTCTCTTAATCCACCTTTCTTTAAAATCTCTCAACTATAGGGCACAGAGTTGAAAAGACAATATTTAAAGGGGCAGTCTATGCACCATAACTATATGCCAGGTGTAGTGGTCACCATTAGGCTGGAGGTTGCCATTCATGCTCTGTCATTTTTCACTTTTTCAGAAAGATAAAATACTGATCAAGACTGGTCAAATTTCACAGAATTTTACCAACGCAATTCAAAGACAAAGTAGGGAATAGTTACATAGATTGAAGACATGTGTCCATTAAGTGGTCTTCCTCACGTTTTGCTGTTGAAGGGTTGGAATTCATACAATCTATGAAGCTCCGGCTGTTTCATGCGTACACCTTCATGCACTACAGCCCTGATGTGCTTCCTGGCAAATAAAAGAGTCAGGAGCGAAAGCAGACAGTAGCATGAAGATCGCTTGAGGATTGTGGAAAAAAATTAAATGACTAGTTACCTCCGCAGGCATCAGACCCACAACGATCTATCCTTTCAGGAATCTTTGCAAAAAATACAAAGGTCCCCAAAAATGACAGCTTTAACAAAGTTTGAAATGTGTTCCGAGCTGTGGAATATGTGAACAGTAAATAATTGTAATTGTGTGCAGTCTCCCTCTTTAAATGTAGTCAAAAGAATATTTCATTTTCAAAACATTAAAGCTACTTTAAAAAAAAAAAATTAAAGTTTTGCACTATTTTCCCCCCCCCATTTCCTTTCCAAACCATTCAGTCTCTAAACCTTAAAATGAAAATAGCTGGCAATGAATTCCATATTAAAATGGTAGAATGTGCAAAATAGCCATAGCACAGAGTGGATTTTTATTAAAGGTGCAGATTGATTTTATTACGGTTTTTGGGTCTCAAATTGCTGATGGATTGTCAGTGAAGGATTCTTACTGTGCTTAAACTTTGTAATGGGATTTAATTTGTATTTGAAAGTTATGCATTAATTATAAATATCGCCCTATATTATATACTTGCAAGAACATTTTGTGCTTCATTATGTATTACTGTGTTAATGCATTATACCTTAGGAGAGAAAAAAAAATGCACCTTGTATCTGGTAGACATTTATTTTTATTTTACAGAACAAAATGGAGTCAGTTGCACTGTGATAGTACAAGACAACATATGGGATTGTTTCCACATTAAAGACAAAATGGCTGTTTTTCAACCACCAAAAACAGAGATCCTTAAATCTGGAACCAAAGCACCAGATACACACCTGAAACATTCCCTTATTAAAAAAAAAATACTAAAAAAAAATAATCCAAAACAAAAACAGCACACTTTGGTCAGATAAAGATATATCTCTGAAGTTCCTTAAAAATTAAGCTTGACCAAGCCCTTTTATTGCCCACAAGTCTAAAGTGAGCACTTAATCTTCAATATATCTAAAGATCTTTTAAGAAGTACTCCGTGAGTTCAAAAATGAGTCTTTAGAAAGCTGGACCACTTGAGAACTTTTTTTAATTTTATTTTTTCTTTAACAAGTGCATTCTAAAGACATGGCTACATAGACTGTAGTTAAATGTCCTAAAAAAAACAACAAAAAACAAAACTTGTTAATATTTCTAGTCATTAAGTTGAGTGAAGCATCTCCAATATGACTGCCATGTTTAACCAAGGTGTGATCACCCCAAACATGACAAAACAGGTAATCCAATGGTTGAACAGTTGTTGACGTGAACCTGAGAACGACATTGGATTGTTCAAGTCAATACATTGCTTTCTGTCACTTCCTATTCAATTTTTTTCTGAGTATTATAAACATACAGTAGCAATAGGACACATACTATATAGTAGGGCAGCATTCTAGTAAAGAATGGGAAATATCAGACTAGCTGCGATATGAGCGAATACAATCCTTGGTAAACCTTGTAAAGGGAAGAACGAAAGTTAGAAATGCAGTAGAAACCCAGCCATTCCCTGAAATCTTCTATATACCTTTCCCCTTAGATTTTTCCTTTCTTTAATAAGCCTTTAAGCTGAAGATTGGTTTGTGCTGTTTAGTCAATATGGTGCTATAAGTCTGTAGCTTCCACATCAGGTGCTCCCCTCGGTGGAGTGTAAGAGAATTGCAAGTTGAAGAATATACATCTTGTTCATATCAAATCTACAATGTAAACTTATGGAGAAGCCAATGGTTAAATAGATAACATAAGATGTAGTTCATATACAGAGAATGACTTTTGAAACAAGCTTTTTTTTCGTCTTCATTTTTCTTTTGAGGCAAATTTCCATGAGCATTGATGTTTGGTTGCATGAGTGGCTCAGCGTCCAGGAGCAAATATGGAATCCAATGCTTGACGTTCAGCTGCTGCCACATTGGGGTGCCACAGGTCAACCATGAAAATCACACGAGGTCCTTCGTCTGCTGATCCTAAATTAGTGATACATAAAGCATACAAATTACACACACACACACACAGCCCCCACTTAAAGACCACAAATAGGTAGTCTAAACGCTAACTTCTTGGTTATTGCAGATTGCCATTAATAAACACATTGTATTGTTCGTGAAACCCTATGCCAATAGCAAAACCAATTAGAGTTGGAAATTTGCAATCCTGGCATTCAATTTATGAAACAAAACTGGAGGAGGAGTGTGTTACAGCTACTTAGACTTCTAAAATGAATTCAAACAGTTTGTCTGCTATTTCACAAAAAGCACGTGTTAATGTGATCCATGCCTCGCCTTAAAAAAAATCGCAATCAAAAAATGTTGCATTGTATGTGTAATCTCTGAGATACTTTGGAACCCTTTTCAGATATATGCATCTGTCCATGCTTAGATAAATTGGCAATACATGGAGACCATTTTGTACTGTAGATATACATTTTTTAATCCAATGTTAAAAAAAAATAAAAAAATTAAAAATCAAGCCATAAGATTTGCTTTTCCCACAACCAACCTCATGCTGATGATTTGCATTAACAATGAAACATCTGTCCACGAGTTGTTTGCTGGCTTTGCATTGTTTCCTAAGTTGTGTTTCAAAGCTGTTGTATACAGCAAACAAGACTCAAAGTTTAAAATGGAATGAGGCAAAAACTTTATTTTTTGTCAAACTAATTTGCATACTTCTCGGAAGTAACATCACTGATTTCTGTGGGAAAAGAAAGTCTTATGGCTTGACTGGTGTGCAGATTTGTGTTTAACATTGCAATAATTATCCACAGACTTCAGGTGGAATATTTCCCAACCATAACTAACACATCCAGGGCTGTCTTTAATATCACTAGGACCATGTGCAAATCATTTTCTTGGGCCCCCAGGGCACTCCCTGGCATGCAAACACCTTTCACATACATACATAGACAGACAGACGCTGGCACACCCAGACAGATATACTGACAGACAACCTGACACACACACACACATAAACTGTCAGACATACTGACACACACAGACATACTGACACATTCACACTTTGGACACCAGGGAAGCAGAAAGGTAGGTTTAAGAGTGGTGGCTGAGGCTTTTGGGGGTTACAGACTGGCAATCTGGACCAGCCCCCCTCCTCTCCGCTTCCCTGGTGTGGTCTCTCCCACGCGGCTCTCGGGGAGGAAGTGACTCACGGCAGTCACTTCCTCCCAAGCTACCAAAAAGCAAAGGGGCACGGTCGTGCTGTTGAAGGGACACTGCGTGTGACAGGGTCCATGCTTACAAACTCCCACCAGGTGGCCTTTAGTGCATGGGCCAACCGATGGGCCTCCTTGTGTGCGTCCTCAGGATGCACCAGGGGCCCATGGGTGGGGGAGAAGAAAGTAGTTCAGGGCAGCTGCCTTGGGCCCCCTAGAAGTAAAAGGGCTCAGGGCAGCTTCCCAGTGTTAAAGACGGCCCTGCATGTATCACCACTAATGCCCTAGTAGTAAACATCTCCTTTTAACGCCTATACAATGCAAACACTAGCACTACTCCTAACCCTTAACTATTGAATATGTAGTTCAACCCTATAATACAAACCCTAACTTAAAAATATACACTGCTCAAAAAAATAAAGGGAACACTTAAACAACACAATGTAACTCCAAGTCAATCACACTTCTGTGAAATCAAACTGTCCACTTAGGAAGCAACAATGCGTGACAATCAATTTCAAATGCTGTTGTGCAAATGGGATAGACAACAGGTGGAAATGATAGGCAATTAGCAAGACACCCCCAATAAAGGAGTGGTTCTGCAGGTGGTGACCACAGACCACTTCTCAGTTCCTATGCTTCCTGGATGATGTTTTGGTCACTTTTGAATGCTGGCGGTACTTTCACTCTAGTGGTAGCATGAGATGGAGTCTACAACCCACACAAGTGGCTCAGGTAGTGCAGCTCATCCAGGATGGCACATCAATGCGAGCTGTGGCAAGAAGGTTTGCTGTGTCCAGAGCATGGAGGCACTACCAGGAGACAGGCCAGTACATCAGGAGACGTGGAGGTGGCTGTAGGAGGGCAACAACCCAGCAGCAGGACCGCTACCTCCGCCTTTGTGCAAGGAGGAACAGGAGGAGCACTTCCAGAACCCTTCAAAATGACCTCCAGCAGGCCACAAATGTGCATGTGTCTGCTCAAACTTTCAGAAACATACTCCATGAGGGTCGTATGAGGGCCCGACGTCCACAGGTGGGGGTTGTGCTTACAGCCTAACACCGTGCAGGACGTTTGGCATTTGACAGAGAACACCAATATTGGCAAATTCGCCACTGGCGCCCTGTGCTCTTCACAGATGAAAGCACGTTCACACTGAGCACATGTGACAGAGTCTGGAAACTCCGTGGAGAACATTCTGCTGCCTGCAACATCCTCCAGCATGACCGGTTTGGCAGTGGGCCAGTAATGGTGTGGGGTGGCATTTCTTTGGGGGGGCAGCACAGCCCTCCATGTTGTGCTCGCCAGAGGTAGCCTGACTGCCATTAGGTACCGAGATGAGATCCTCCGACACCTTGTGAGACCATATTCTGGTGCGGTTGGCCCTGGGTTCCTCTTAATGCAAGACAATGCTAGACCTCATGTGGCTGGAGTGTGTCAGCAGTTCCTGCAAGACGAAGGCATTGATGCTATAGACTGGCCCGCCCATTCCCCAGACCTGAATCCAATTGAGCACATCAGGTCTCGCTCCATCCACCAACGTCACACCACAGACTGTCCAGGAGTTGGCAGATGCTTTAGTCCAGGTCTGGGAGGAGATCCCTCAGGAGACCATCCGCCACCTCATCAGGAGAATGCACAGGCGTTGTAGGGAGGTCATAAAGGCACGTGGAGGCCACACACTACTGAGCCTCATTTTGACTTGTTTTAAGGACATTACATCAAAGTTGGATCAGCCTGTAGTGTGTTTTTCCACTTTAACTTTGAGTGTGACTCCAAATCCAGACCTCCATGGGTTGAAAAATTTGATTTCCATTTTGTAATTTTTGTGTGATTTTGTTGTCAGCACATTCAACTATGTAAAGAAAGTATTTCAGAAGAATATTTAATTCATTCAGATCTAGGATGTGTTATTTTTGTGTTCCCTTTATTTTTTTTTGAGCAGTATATATACATACATAATGGTGAAATGTGTATTAGGGAGCATAATTCCATTTACATATATAATGTAAATGATACATGGTAATTTGCATATTTCCAACATATGATACGCTATATAAATCTATGTTATAGAATCATTTTTTAATCCTTCATCCAAGGTTATTGTAGTGTGGCGATTTAAATGCTCAAACCTCCTACAGATTCATTCTCCAATTTTAGAATGACACAAAATTAACTTGTCATTCCTTTGCCTTTATCTCTTTTCACGCTTCTTTTTTTGGTCCATTATTCAGTTTAATGTTATAGAGGTTACAGCAGACAATTCTGTTTAGGTCAACAGTTGAAAAGTTAATTTCTTTAGAACTAGCTAGGGGATATGGAGAGAATATACACACATACACATACGCAAAAGTAACAGTAATATATTCGGAGGTCAACAACCTACCTTCATGATAAGCAGTATGCAGGAAAGAGTCATCAAATAATAGACAGTGTCCTTCTGCCCAGCATTGCGGTTCTCCACCCACCACCAGCTCACAGTTTCCTGGGATTTTTAAACCTTTAAAATGCAACACAGGTGGAAAATTATTTTGAGGAAAAATATGTTAAGCTTTTTGGGGTTTATAAAGCACCAACTGATTCTGCAGCACTGTGCAATGGGTGGACAAACATTTGTAACCAGAGATGTTGGACACACAAGAACAGAGGGGGTTGAGGGCCCTGCTCAAATACTAGAGGGAGTGGGGTATAGGGACAAAAGGGTAGCCATACCTACTCATACTAGCAATGGCCACTGATTGTCAGCTGACACTTTCAGTCCATCACAGCCACCCACTGCGGTACAAGCTAAACACTGAATAAGACAGCAGCAGAGGACTCCATACAATTGTAACACTAGAGACTGCTTCTCTAGCAGGGGTATCCAACCTTGGTCCATCAAATATACTGTACGGGTCGCCTGGCAGTGTACTGATAAGTTTAACATAACAAATTATAGAGAAAGCAATTGCCTTAAATACATCCATACCACATACCGTACTTTTGATGAGCTTTCTTGGAGCAGAGGAGGAGGGAGGAAAAAAAAAACAAAACAAAAAAAAAAATGCAGTGTCTACATAACAATTGAGGAAAAATACCCTAATGTGGATATCCTGGATGTTCACATTTACCCATGGTATGCCCTAATGGTGTCCTGTTTAATACAGGATGCTTGCTACTCTGTCTTAAATAAACAAGGTTTAGTTTGTGGGCCACAAAAAAAATCAGTTTTCGTAGAAACATAGGCTTATTTAAAAAAAAAAAAAAAAAATTACAGTATAAAAAAAAGTTGACTGACACTGGACGTCAACATGCTTGTAGGGCTTCAAAGTAAACAAAAGATTGAATTTTAAGGAGACATGCATTTACATATAACCAATGATTCAGTCCAACTACCTTGATATATTAAAAAGGTTTTTTTTTTTTTAATGGGACTTAAATTGTGAATGCATGCTGTTGCACATCTATAAAAAACAAATTACATTATCTTTTAATTTTGAAGTCCTATGAGTGTGTTCACTTTGGCAGAGTTCAAACTTTTTGCTCTCAGTCAAATGCTTTCCCATAGGAAAGCATTGGGAGGCTATTGTGCATGTGTTGCAATTGCCCAATACACTGCCCCTGCCTCCTTAATCCACCCCCCTCCCACCCCCCCCATCCCCACACTGGTTGCCTCCCCACCCATCCCACCACTAATACACTGGCTCCCTCCCTGAAAAAAAACCCCACAAAAACAAAAACCACTACACAAACACAAAAATGCCCCTCTCCCCAATTTAATAAGTTGGCCTACTCCAGCCCCCTGCCTCCTTCAAAGAAAGAAACCCTTGCCCTCCCCAATTTAACACTACACAGTAAGGTTCCCCAAACCCCTCTTCTCCTACCTTAAAAGGGACACTATAGTCACGAAAACAACTTTAGCTTAAACAGTTTTGGTATATAGATCATGCCCCTGCAGTCTCAGTGCTCAATCCTCTGCCATTTAATAGTTAAATCCCTTTGTTTATGAACCCTAGTTACACCTCCCTGCATGTGACTTGCACAGCCTTCCTAAACACTTTATCCTTGCTTTATTGCAAGTTCTGTTTAATTTAGATTTTCTTATCCCCTGCCATGTCAATAACTTGCTAGACCCTGCAAGAGCCTCCTGTATGTGATTAAAGTTATATTTACAGAGCAAAAAAGATACAATTGTTTACGTTAAATTACATTGATTGAAAGTGAAACTAGTGTTTTTTTCCCACGCAGGCGGTGTCAGAGCCAGGGAAGGTCTTCATAAACAGAAACAAAGTGATTTAACTCCCAATTGGTAGTGGATTGAGTAGTGAAACATGATAGGCATGATCTACACACCAAAACGGCTTCATTAATCTAAAGTTGTTTAGGTGACTATAGTGTTCCGTTATGATGAGCCAGCCCTGCTCTTCTCTGCAAGCAGGCCAGATGCTCGAAGGGGGAGTGGCTGGCCTGCTCTGCAGAGAGACAGACACACTGCTCTATTGTGGCTGTGGGAGGGAAGGCAAGAATCAGACAGGAAATATATATCTTTCCTGTCTTGCGGCTGGTCGCAGCCACATCACAGACGGGCCACAAATATATTCATTGTGGGCTGCAAGTTTAACATGCTTGCTATAAGTTACAAGTTTTTAGTACTTTAACTTCTCAAAACAGTGACACACATGGGTATGTTTGCTATAGCAAAGGAATGTAGCTGAACACAAGCGGTTTGTTTTGTGTTTATTGATATGGTAGAGAGCAGTGCTAAACTTTTATAAATACTGTCAAAAAAGTACTTTAAAAATGGTAGTAATTCTGAATTTAGAAAGTGCTATGAAACCTACAGTTGCAGCATACCAAAATTCTGAAACTGTTTCTTTTAGAGCTAAATCCCATCGATCCTTTACCATATATTATATCTGCTAGAATCAAACAGAATTCCTAATAAGGGCATAAGCACATAGCGAATACACCAGATCGGATTCTGTTCATTCAGGGAAACTGGAAAACCTTCAGTCACAATGGGGTTAAACACTGCAGTCTCTACCACTGCAGCTTCCTTTGTCAAGCACAGTCATTGACTGTGCCATGTTCTGGGATAATAGACCAGGTGGGGAAAACAGACCGAGATAAAGGAGATCTTTGGCTTATTTGTACATTTATAGATATCCAACATATTTTACAGTAATGTAAAACACACAAGTCAGTGATAGTGTTAGAATTAAGGTGAATAGGATTTTTCTCCAACATACTTAACCCCTTAAGGACCAAACTTCTGGAATAAAAGGGAATCATGACATGTCACACATGTCATGTGTCCTTAAGGGGTTAAAGTCTAGATGACACTGGCACAATATAGAACGCAATGTATTCAGAATGGAAGGAAGGCTTCATGGCATAATTAATTTTTAAACTAGTTGATATCACATACGCTGTATTACTAAAGATGCTCAGCTGGAGTGTGTTTGTATGTAAATATTTGTGTTCGATTGCAGGAGTGTGTTGGTATGTGTGTATACATCCAAGCAGTGACAGATACATACACACCATGACACAAAAACACACCCGGATATAAAAATAAATAATTGCGTGTATATATCTCCAGCGGGTCATCCTCCTGTTGGCTTACCTGGTGTGTCCAGGAGGGTAACGGAGTCCTGGTCCTGCTGGCTGGTGGGAGTGAGGGGTCTGGGGCAGCTCCGGGAGTGCTCCTCACCCCTCATGCTGAGGATCCCTCCTCTCACAACCTGCACAAAGCTGGGAGAATGTGACAGGCTGTTACTTCCTCCCTGCTGGCAGACACTACAAGGGCCTGGTCATGGTCTTAAAAAGGACCCGACTGGGCCCCCTGTTCAGCAGTTATGTTTCCCAGTGCTATAAACATAGCATCGAGGAAACATTTGCAGTGTCCCTGTGTACACATTGCGTCGCCCCAGCACACAGTTTGGGAACTGCTTGTTTAACCCCTACAGGTAAGCGGTGTGAAGTAACTTCAGGCATAACAACAACTTAATTCCGATTAAGTGGTTATGGTGCCCAGAATGTTCCCTTAAAGTTCTAAAGCAACACACTTACAAAAGTAAGTGGATAACACAAAAACCTATTACTGCAACATGCAACCTGGCCTGCTTTTATTTTATGGAATTTTTTTTAAAGCAAGAAGAGGTGAAAAAGTCAAGTTGATGTAAATTATTTCAGACAGCTTGTAACAGGTGCTTACTTGTAACAGCCTTATTTTGCCATGTACCCATGATGAAAATGACACTCCCAATGGTTACATATAAGCAATTAATGTATGTGGACTGTAAAGAGTTACTGACGGCAAACTACATTATACCACTGAATATAAATGTTTTGACTTTTTTACATCTTCGTGTAAGGGGTGAGATTCAAGAGACAGTAAATCTGACAACGGAATGTAATATAGACTAAGGAGTAATTCAAGATCAAGAAGAGTGGGCTACAGTAAACCAAGTGGGAGACAAGAAGTGCAGAGACAAGTCTGATTGCCTCTTTTGTAAGAAATGGGTATGTGAGAGTTGTATTATTAACATGAAGACTGCACTGTATAGTAATTTGCTAAAGGGGAGTAGTGAAAGAAAGCGGAATGAAACAGCACAAAAAAAGACATTGAGGGTATGGCTCAGGTTTGATGGCAGCAAAATTTACTTTATGGGAGGCAGTTATCTAAGAGTTCTATTTTGTAAGGCAGAAGTTGAAGAGGTACTCCGATGGCAAGTTCAAATGAGTGCCACCAGCATGTAGGTATTCCTGAAATACAAATGTAATAAAAATTATAACTTTCCAAGTAAAATAGAACTTATAATCTAGCATCTCAGAAGAATCTGGGTGTGCTGAGTACCACTACTATAATGCATAGGGCCTACTGTAAGGTTTGCAACAAAGCCACCATGACCTCCACGAGTGTTATGCCTAGGCCCCTCAGTTCCAGTGAAGGTCATCCTAATGCTACAGGGTACAAAATAAGACTGGTTGCTTCCAAGTTTGTGGCAATGATTTGGGGAAAGCCCTTTGTTCCGACATGACTGCTCATGTGCACAACAAAGTTCGTAAAGACACAGTTGAACAAGACTGGTGTGGAGGAAATAAAATAGTGTAGTGTGATTTTACAAACCCTCTTTCAGTTAAATGGGAACAAATTCCAACAGACAGTCAGAACCTTGTGGAAAGCCTTACAGATGAATGGCAACAGGACCCCCCCCCCCCCAAAAAATAAAAATAAAATAAAGGGAACACTTAAACAACACAATGTAACTCCAAGTCAATCACATTTCTGTGAAATCAAACTGTCCACTTAGGAAGCAACACTGCGTGACAATCAATTTCACATGCTGTTGTGCAAATGGGATAGACAACATGTGGAAATTATAGGCAATTAGCAAGACACCCCCAATAAAGGAGTGGTTCTGCAGGTGGTGACCACAGACCACTTCTCAGTTCCTATGCTTCCTGGCTGATGTTTTGGTCACTTTTGAATGCTGGCGGTGCTTTCACTCTAGTGGTAGCATGAGATGGAGTCTACAACCCACACAAGTGGCTCAGGTAGTGCAGCTCATCCAGGATGGCACATCAATGCGAGCTGTGGCAAGAAGGTTTGCTGTGTCTGTCAGCGGAGTGTCCAGAGCATGGAGGTACTACCAGGAAACAGGCCGGTACATCAGGAGACGTGGAGGAGGCTGAAGGAGGGCAACAACCCAGCAGCAGGACCGCTACCTCCGCCTTTGTGCAAGGAGGAACAGGGGGAGCACTGCCAGAGCCCTGCAAAATTACCTCCATTAGGCCACAAATGTGCATGTGTCTGTTCAAACGGTCAGAATCAGATTCCTTTGGTGTTATGAGGGCCCGACGTCCACAGGTGGGGGTTGTGCTTACAGCCTAACACCGTGCAGGACGTTTGGCATTCGTCAGAGAACACCAAGATTGGCAAATTCACCACTGGCGCCCTGCGCTCTTCACAAATGAAAGCACGTTCACACTGCGCACATGTGACAGAGTCTGGAGACGCCGTGGAGAATGTTCTGCTGCCTGCAACATCCTCCAGCATGACCGGTTTGGCAGTGGGTCAGTAATGTGTGGGGTGGCATTTCTTTGGGGGGGCCGCACAGCCCTTCATGTGCTAGCCAGAGGTAGTCTGACTGCCATTAGGTACCGAGATGAGATCCTCCGACACCTTGTGAGACCATATGCTGGTACGGTTGGGCCCTGGGTTCCTCCTAATGCACGACAATGCTAGACCTCATGTGGCTGGAGTGTGTCAGCAGTTCCTGCAAGATGAAGGCATTGATGCTATGGACTGGTCATCTACATTTGACCAATCCAGTTAACCAAACAGTACAATGAGAGAGATTAATGACTAATGCGATTAACACAGATCTCCAAACCTTATTAGTTGTGTTATAGTTGTACATCTTTTATAAACAAAGAAATACAAGTCACAATTATTTATGTTAAAACAAGACACAGCAAGAAATGCCCTAATGATCTTTATGTCCGTTCATGTTATAGAAGGCATGATCTAATGAAAAGGGAATACCAACTAGCACATATTGATCCAACCAATTACAAGTATTGACTGTGTTTGAGGACTAATCAATTATTGATATATTGGACACCATATCTTGTTAAAATGCCCCCATTTGTACCTCAAACAGTGCTCTACAACAGACTTATGTGGTGCACAGTCTACTTCTCAACCCAGACACTGGTGTGCCATAATATTGTAAGTAGTAAGCCAGTTTTCAGAAATATTTTCTGTCATTTATATATGTGAAGACATAACTTAAGCAAAGAAAAAAGAAAAAAAAAACACCAAAGAAAACCACACACAATTCCTGTCCTAGTGTGTTTTATACCCCACCTCTTATAGACTGTAAGCTCGTTTGAGCAGGGTCCTCTTCAACCGATCGTTCCTGTAAGTTTTCTTGTAATTGTCCTATTTATAGTCAATTCCCTCGGAATCTGTTGGCGCTATATAAATTACAATAATAACACTCAATGTCCTCAGTAATACAATTGGATGGGGCTAGTCAGTTATTTGTCAAATATTATGGAACATAACTCAATATGAAAGGGGGTGGGGGGAAGAGTATGATAAATTAAGGAATGTTATATTCCAAGTTCTACATGGCATTTTAACAGTGAATGTCATAATATTGTTTTCTGCAATAAAATTCACATTTGTGTTTAATGTCTCACAAGTACAACTGTAACCTATGTACAAGTTTTAAGTGATTTTGGAAAATTACAGGGTTAAAAATATTTTCACTTTTTACACATTTACATTTGCCAGATTGGTTTGCTGGGCCTATGTTGTCTTTGAGATCTTATGGCACTCCAGAAACCAACATTACACACGGCTTGCAAAAGTAGACAAAAAAAAACAAAACAGTCTATTTTAGTAGCCGCTTAGTCACAATCCCTCGGTTTTCAGGCAGTTCCCACAATCACTGGAGGGCAAGCATCCAGATATTCTTAAAGGAACACTATATAGTCACCTAAACAACTTCAGCTTAATGAAGCAGTTTTAGTGTATAGATCATACCGCTTAGGTTTTACTGCTTAATTCACTGCCATTTAGGAGTTAAATCACTTTGTTTGGTTTATGCAACCCTTGCCACACCTCCCCAGCTAGGAGTGACAAGGCCAGCATGAAAAAACAAAACAAAAAATTCACCACTGGTTTCACTTTCAATCAGATGTAATTTACCTTAAAAGGACCACTATAGTGCCCTGAGGGTGCCCCCACCCTCAGGGTCCCACTCCCGTGGCGCTGAAGAGGGAGGAAGGGGTTAATCCGTTACCCTTTTTTCCAGTGCCGGGCTCCCTCGGCGCTGGGACTCTCCTCCCTCTTCTGATGTCATCGGCTGAATGCGCATGCGTGGCAATAACCATGCTCACATTCAGCCAGTCTCATAGGAAAGCATTCTCAAAGCTCTGAAACTGCTGTGTTTACAGTAGAAAGGGTTAATCCTAGATGGACCTGGCACCCAGACCACTTCATTAAGCTGAGTGCCTATAGTGGTCCTTTAAACAATTGTATCTTTTGCTCTGTAAATAGAACTTTAATCACATACAGGAAGCTCTTGCATAGTCTAGCAAGTTATTGACATGGCAGGGTATAAGAATAAGAGGGATTTAACTCGTAGATGGCAGGGAATTGAGCACTGAGACTGCAGGGGCATGATCTATATACCAAAACTGTTTAAGCTAAAGTTGGTTTGGTGACTAAAGTGTCCCTTTAATACAGAGTGGCTTTATGGTGAACCAAAAACCACACTTTATGCATTTTGTGTCTAACACTTTATAGAGCCCCAGACCAGAAGTTGCAATTTATCACAGTATGTCAAGCAATTTCCATTTTTAAAATTTTGTGGAATAAAAAGGGCATTTTAATTTTTATGGAACAAGCAGTAAATAGTATTTTTGTGAACAGCAAATGCCATTTTTCTGTTCGCAGTGATAAATAGCCATTACACTTGCCCAGTAGCATAGGACAAAGTTTGCCCTGATAAAATACTATGACAATACCATACTGGATGTGTTGCTAGAGCAAAGGAGTGTGAATAGAATGACGTCTGTTCTGCCGTTTCAAAAATCCTCTGGTAAAGCAAGAGTTGCTTGTAGTCTTGTGCTCGCCAGGGAATAAGTCATAAATTTACTGGCAGACACATTGTAGTTCCTGTAAGCAAGATAACCTTCTGCATCGGTGTTCTCTTGCACATCAACCTTTAGCATACACTGAATGGATGGTTGCTAGTTAGGTGGGAGAGGAATTTGCTAGAGATAGAGAATATATTAATATATCTCTCTATCTATCTATATCTATATCTATATCTATATCTATATCTATATCTATATCTATATCTATATCTATATCTATATCTATATATATCTCTATTTATTTGCGTTTTACATTCTTCAATATTAAAATAAGTAGCAAATTTCATGAGAAGTACCATTCAAGTCAGCATTTCTGTATATTTAGTGCTACATTTTCTGTTTGTATGCCATGGGGACAGATTTAAATGAACGCTACATGAGAGCATTATATATACACCTGCTTTAATGCTCTTCTCAAAGCTGACCTTGCTATAAAGTCTTTTGTGGATATTAAACAAAAAAAAAAACAAACAAAAAAAAAAAAGGAACATTAACGGGAGAGTGATACAATGGATAAAACCAGCACAGTTGAAAATGCATAAATTGCACACGATAATTTTGCCAATCTTTGTGGCTCTTCCTAAATAAGTGCCTTGCAAGGTGTCAATTACTGTTCATTTGACTGAAATTGGAAAATTGTAGTCTGCATTATGGGTTAGAAAATGTATCCACTTCTTTTGCCCAAGCTTGTCTGAGGTAAACCTATCCTCACCTGAACCCCACAGTCACCAGAAAGATCCATCAGTTTTGGTCTTTGCATCAAAAAAAAACCCTGTAAGTGGCAGACCCACTTTTAAGTGTGTTTGTCTTGCATTGCTTCCTAGTGACACCTATAGTAACCATCATTCAGATAGTCACTAGAGGCGTTTCCTGTGTGTCAGTGCTGCACAGTGTGCAGCACCTACCATTAATGTCTCCACGCTCTGCGTGCGCTGAATGTTCCCCATAAAGATGCATTGATTTAATGCATATCCAAGATGAGAGGCTGATTGGTGCAGCGTTTTGCAGCCAATTCTATGGGAAAACATTTGATCTCAGCCCAAGAGGCAGGGTGAGTAGAGGAGAGACCAGCATGGCGTAAAAACCAAAACAAGAACACAAAAACACCAGTAAAAACACTATTCCTTTGAGAACGGAAGAGGTCTGGTAACCTAAACACACACACACCATGACAGAGACCCATAGACACACTATGACAGACAATGCCTGTGGGGTCCAATAAGTGACCGGCTGTGGGATCATGGAGGCGGGCAGCGAGAGAGCTGTGATATCCCTGCCCTGCTCCCCCGCATGCTGCTCAGTGAGACCAGGGCTGAAATTTGATTTCTTACCAAGCGGCGTGTGGGGGAGCAGAGCAGGTACATCACAGCTCCGCCTACTATTCGTGCAGCTAGCCGCCTGCCTCCATGAGCACCCAACTTGCCGCCTGTCTCCATAGTACCCCAGCCGACTTCCTTCCGCCGGGCTCACATATCACATGCGCCAAGGCCAAATTCCTAGGCGCCATAGGATTTGTCAAGCCCCGAGTTAAACTATTAAATTGAGAAAACTATCTTTAATTCCTGACCTTGGCCTATCCTATCCCTTTGTCAGCTGCCTGTACAGACTTATGCCTTCTACTCAGATTTCTGGTACCCTTGACCTCAGCCTGTCCCAGTTTAGGTTATGCAGTCATTATAAAGTAGCTCGGCCAAAACACGAAACGTGCCATTTTGAACACCCTTGACACATCCTTTTAAAAAGGACACCACACAAACTGTAAAAGGGGACACATTTGTGAAACTATATATTAAAACAAATACTAAGGGTTTATTGCACCAGATCAGATCTGGCAAATTCAAATGTGTAAAAACTGAAATAGACAAGCCCTATATTTAACCCTGTAACTTTTCAAAAACACCATAAAATCTGATCATGGGCATTGTTTTACTTGTGGGACATCACAGCATACCAACATGTGTTTTATTGCAGTGAAAGGCAACACTATTATGATATTCACTGTTAAAATGCCAGGCAGAACTATAGCTAAACAGTAAAGTTTCTTACATTTTTCACACCCCATTTCGCTCAAGTTCTAGGTTTTGATTTAGTTTAGAACTTTGACAATGGTTTACATCCATAATGGGTTAAGCAAATCAAGATCATTGCCATCCACATCATATGCCCTTGTTAGTAATTGACTAGATACATCATAGAAGTTAATGCTATGTTCCCCATTAACATAGTGTTAAAGGGACACTATAGGCACCCAGACCACTTTAGCTCATTAAAGTGTTCTGGATGCAGTGTCCGTATTGCCCTTAGTGCTCTGCATGAGGACATCCAGCATCAGATTTCACCCCCAAAGAAAGCATTGATTCAATGCTTTGCTTATTTGGAGGCCTAATGCGTGCGCACATTAGCGCCCACTCGTCATGGTCGGAGGAGTAGACAACGACCCTGCGCAGAGGGATATCGGCACTGGGGTAAGTCAGGTAAATAAAATGTTTTTAACCATTTATTCATATTGGTGGAGGGGCACGAGGGAGAAGAGAGAAAGAGGTAGCTCTAGTGCTAGGAATACAGCTTTTTATTCCTGGCATTTCTAGTATCCCTTTAAATGCATTTCCTACCAAGTGTCACCAGTAAGAAGGTGCCAGAAAATCCCCAAAACAGTTTGATTCCTATGGGAAGCCAGAGAGAAATGCCAAGTCACTGGCATTTCTCTTTTACACAAAATACAAACATACAGTATTAGTGGCACACAAAACCCCACTGTAGAGTATATGAGATGATGTTCTGCTTAGTTTGTCAGATAGGACTGGTAGGGAGTGTAAATGTGGTGGTGGGCAAACTTTAGTCTGCAAAATTTACAGTATATTACGTGTCAATTTCGTTCTTTGGGTAAACTTTTCAAATCAATTAAATTTAGGCCATAGTTTGCAGAACCAGAGATTTTAATAAAGCAAGCCTTCAGTAGGTTTCATCTATCCTCGTTGAGGATTATGTATTCTCCCAAAGAGTTAATATAACAAAGAATTAAAGGACTACTCCGTGCATCATAACCTCAACATGAAGTTGTTCAGATAAAGAAAGTTTGCATTTTTAATGCACAACACATAAAAAAATGGGGATAGACTGAAACTATACGTGCCCAGTTAGGCTTGGGAATTTTTTTTTTTTTTGTTCTAAAGAGTAGTATGTGCATTTGACTACATAAATAAATGCATCCCATGGAGGAACATTGCAACTTACTCCTGAATACACTTTTGCAGAATGCCATGTAATAAATTGATAAGCTACTTCTTAACATGTGGCAAGGGGGTAGAGCAGTCTGAACTCAAAGTTTTGGACAGCAACTAATAAATTAAGCACAGGTTAAACACTGGAACAATGTTTGACCCACCAATGTGGTGTATACACATGGAGATAAAGTCAAGACAGAAATGCTCTTGCTGGATTAGGAGTTCAGTAAATTTACACAAAACAACTCTGCAATGCAGGACTGACCCTTTCCCCCACGGGATCCCAATAGGATCAATAAAATTGGTAATTAAAGTGAAAACTCAAATATAAAGTCAAAGATACTTGGACATACCTAAATGGCATCTTATCCTGATATTGGTTGGTCCATAGTGCTCTGTGATAACAGTGCCAGGCGTTAGCACAGACATACAAGCATTCCCAAACAAATTGTTGCCAATGAAGGTGCGAAGATTTCCAAGCAAACGGTACGTCCGTGGGCATTTCTTGCAATTTTTGTCAATTGCATTACCTTGGTTGACCAGATAAAATGTTAACCAATCCCCGGTAGGGGTACTGTTTAATTTCCAGCCTTGGGGCAAACTGCAGTTTGAAAATGCTTTATAGATTGCTTCAAATTCACTAAGGATGATGGCAAAGTTTTGCTCTAGCAATTCCACATCATGCTTTTGGATATCCCGAGGAAAATAGGGCATTGTGGGTAAATCAGGAAGGAAGAAAACCTCTGGTTTTTGTATGGATGGCCTGTCATTTATATATCGACTTTGCTCACGAATGCCCTTATGGATTCTGCCCATGCCAGACCAGGAGTACCTCTTGGCGTATTCCTGTAGATTGTGATAGAGTCTTGAGTTCAGTCCACTGTTATGGGTACAGCGTACACAATCACGTGAGTTACAGTAAGCAAACCCGTTCTGCAAGCCTTTGGCTTCTGAACTCTGGATAAGTAAATTCACAGTGGCAAAGGGAGAACGGGGTTGATCCTTACCAACTCGATAACAGTACCATACAAACAACAGCAAGAGGCAGATTATGGTGGTTAGTGCGAGAGTGTTGCAGTCTCGAACAGCTTGGATGGTACCAGCAATCAAGTCACGAAGTCCATTCAGCAAACAGCTCCAGTCAGTCAGCCACTCCACAGACATCTTTGTCCAGACGCGGTAAGGTTTGTAAGCTGATGCGATGGAACGGGGACTGGAAGTTCTAGGAGGGGCCCAAACCATGCGGGTTAATATGGATGAGTTGGTGAACAAGACAACATGATTCTGCCTGTTCTCTCTAGACATCTAAGCAGTTTGTTAGTAGCCACTGGGTGTTTGATGCTGAAACCTAGAAGCACACAGGAACACGTGAAACCATACGGATTTCCGGGGCCTGGTTTTGTACAGAACGTAGCAATGTGTCATCGCGGGTTTAATGGCTATCCACTGAGGAGAGGTCATTCTGAAGAAGACCACACGTTGTCTAGATCTGTTAAAAATAAAACAAAAGAAAACAAAAAACAAACTTACACTTTATTCTAGTTTCTTCATTAGGTATTATTCTGATTAAAACATTACAGGTAATTGCAACTTTTAAAAAGGTTTATCGATTTATTTTTTTGATGACAATGGTTGAAGTTTTAAATGCAGTATTTCAATGCTCATGATTGATACAAATCACAAAATTTGAAAAAGATAAATACTGAAACTTCTAGGCACCAGAACAATGTTAGCTTAATGAAGCAATTTTGATGTATAGATCATGCCCCTGCAGTCTCACTGTGCATTTTCTGCCATTTAGGAGTTCAATCACCATTTATGCAACCCTATGAACACCTCCCTGCATACAAGACTTACACAGCCTTACTAAACCCTTCCTGTAAAGAGTCATCTAATGTTTACACTTCCTTTATTTTAAATTCACAATGCATCTTCTGCTCTATTAATAGATTGCTAGACCCTGCAGGAGCCTCCTGTATGGGATCAAAGTTTAATTTGACATCAAAACAGGTTTAACTTAATGAAGCAGTTTTGGTGTATTGATCATACCACATGCAGCCTCACTGCTCAAATCAGATGTTACCTTGCTCTAGAATTTCTTATTTTTTTTCCTCTCTCCTGCTCTGTAAGTTGGAGGCTACATGGTCTACAGTGTTATTAACAGAGCAGTAGATAAGAAAATATAAACCAAAGAGAATGTGCAATATAAACAGAAGAAATTAACTTTAAACATTACATCTCATTATAGGAGGCGTTTAGAAGACCTAAATGGCAGAAAAATCAGCAGTGAGACTGCAGAGGCATGATCTATACACCAACACTGCTTCATTAAGCTAAGGTTTTGGTGCTTACAATGTCCGTCATTGGAAATATTCTGTAACTCAGCTATGCTTTCAGCTCATCTACCCTGTCCTTGAGTTTCAAATTCATCTTGAACTCTTACTTTAGTACATAATCCTGACAATATAATCTAGTACACTCCTTGCTATTGGAATATAAGCATAGGATAACCATGTAATGGCAGAGTATAGTCATAAAATGTACATATTTAGTCCTAGTCCTGGTATACATTCTAAATTGTAACCTTTGCAGTAATTTAATTTCAGTCATTTTACAGCAGATATGGTTAGAACTTATTCAATGTAAAATGTCAAACCAGCAATGCTGTCACTTGTGCTACTTCTGTTGGTGGCATTTATTATTAAAAAAAACAAAGAAACTGTAAAATAAAAAACAAAATCACGTGGGTGTCACTGTAAAGAGTAAAAAGGAAAACTGGAAACCATGTTAAAAAAAAAAATTTAATATTTTTTTATAATATATATATATATATATATATATATATATATATATATATATATATATATATATATATATATATATATATATATATATATATATTTTAATATTAAAAATAAAATAAAAAATAAAATTAAAAAATCACCTTCACCTCAAAACGGGTCTACACTTAAATGAACACTATAGTCACCAGAACAACTACAGGTGGGATGAGACATGAATGGGCAGTTAACTTAAATGTGTACGTTATTTAGGAAGGATAGGAAAAACAAGAAGGGTGGTGGGGTATGTTTGTATGTCAACCATGATTTAAAGCAAGTGGAATGCAATGAGGAAAATGTGGAAGCTTTATGGGTAGATATCGGCTTGGGGCAAACGAAGGGAAATCAATTATTGGTTGGGATATGTTATAAACCACCTGATGTTAATATTGACGAGGAACAACAACAGCTGTTTGAGCAAATTGAGAAAGCTGCAAATCTGGGTAACACTTTAATTATTGGAGATTTTAATTACCCGGACATAAATTGGGACAGAGGGACTAGTAGCTCAGCAAAAGGAATTAGGTTTTTAAACTTGTTAAATGACACCTTCATGTCACAACTTGTACAAGCACCAACTAGAATGGATGCTTGTCTGGACCTGGTTTTAACAAACAACGTTGATCTTTTGACCAACATTCAAGTAGGTGAGCACTTGGGAAATAGTGATCACAATATAGTGTCCTTTGAAATAAACTCAAAAAAACAAAAGCACATGGGGTATACTAAAACATATAATTTTAAAAAGGCCAATTTCAATAAGTTAAGGGCAGCTTTACAATATATTGACTGGCATAAACTCTTTAGTGAAAAGAACACTGAGGATAAATGGATCATCTTCCAACAAATATTAGAAAGGTACATTTCTCAGTATGTACCATTGGGAAATAAATATAAAAGAAACAAATTAAAACCAATGTGGCTTAGTAGAGAAGTAAAACAAGAGATTAAAAATAAGAAAAGGGCATTTAAAGCATTTAAATCGGACAAATCAGATGCATCTTATAAAAGATATAAGGAAGCAAATAATGCGTGCAAAAAGGCAATTAGACTTGCTAAACTTCAAAATGAAAAAATGATAGCTAAAGAGAGCAAAACCAACCCCAAAGCATTTTTTAAGTACATAAATTCTAAAAAAAAAAAAAAATGAAAGTGTAGGTACACTAAAAACTGAAACGGGGGTGTTAGTTAATGAAGACCAGGAAAAGGCAGGAATTTTAAATAACTATTTCTCCTCCATATATATTAAGGAAGAACCCATGGCAATAGATGTGCAAATGATTGCTACTAAAAACTTGCAGAATAATTGTAATTGGTTAACTCAAGACAAGGTGCTGCAACAACTAAAGAAAGTTAATATAAACAAAGCTCCAGGGCCTGACAGTATCCATCCACGAGTACTTAAGGAACTAAGTGTAGAAATAAGTGAACCTCTGTTTTTAATCTTTCAAGATTATTTTCTTTCAGGAAGTGTTCCGGAGGATTGGAGGAAGGCAGATGTGGTTCCTATATTCAAAAAGGGTTCAAAATCCTTGCCTGGAAATTATAGACCTGTGAGCTTAACTTCTGTGGCTGGGAAAATATTTGAAAGGTTATTAAGGGATAATATTCAAGAATTCCTTGAGAAGAACATGGTTATCAGCAAAAATCAGCACGGTTTTATAAAGCACAGGTCATGTCAAACTAACTTGATTGCGTTCTACGAAGAAGTAAGTAGAAGTATAGATCAGGGTGTTGCAGTGGATGTGATCTATTTGGATTTTGCCAAGGCATTTGATACAGTTCCCCACAATAGGTTAGTGTTCAAACTCAAGGAAATCGGTCTAGATCATGGGTCATCAACCTGGTCCCTACCGCCCACTAGTGGGCGTTTCGGGATTCCAGGTGGGCGGTAGGGACTTTGGAGGTTAAAACCTCCTTTTGAGCGAGCAGGTGCGAGCGCACACATCAATCAACCTCCTTTTGTGCGAGAAGGGGTCGGGCAGGAGCGAGTGCACGCAAATACGTGGGAAGAGGAAGGGGAGGAGAGGAAACTGAGGCAGGGACAGAGAAAATGAGCAGAGCAGTTGCAAAAGAAAAGTTATAGGCAAGAGAAAGAGAATTGTTGGCTAATAATAATAAGTTGGCTTACTAGCTCAGCCTTACTTTTGTACCTCAGGAACGTAAAAGAAAGGAGATAAAAAGGAAAAGATAAAAAAAAAAAAAAAGGAAGAAAAATAGAGAAAAGGGGATAAAATAAAGGAGAGTAAGCAGTGTTTAGTCTGGCTCAAATTAAGTTTTGTTATCTTATAAAATAAAAGAAAAAGGAAGGAGAAAATAAAAAAAAAAAAGGAAAAAGAGATCCTTGATATAGTGATATACTATAAGGAAGGTAAAGAAGCAGGCAGGAAAAGGAATTTCTTTTGATGGTGACATTTAATAAAAATTGGCACCTAATACAGCATTGTTTTTGGTGTTAGTAATAAAAGGGAAAAGAGGAGGGAAAAAAGCACTGTGTGGATTGCAGATCAAAACGTAAAAGTAAAAGTAGTAATTACTTTTGTAATTTTGGCAGTGGTGGATACCAAAAACTCTGGCAAAATAAAAAAAAAATGCCTGCGTTATATCCAAATATGTGGAAAATGATGTTCAATTTATTGATACCTTTCCCTACCACATATCTTGTAGAATCAGGCTTTAGTGCTGTTAATCATATTATGAGCAAACAGAGAAACCGTCTGAATATCACCAAAAGAGGAGACCTTCGTTTGTTCCTTACGAAAATCGAACCAGATATCAAACATTTAGTCTCGCAGCATCAGCCTCAAGGATCTCATTAATCACTAGTAAAGGTAATTTCAATTTACTTTATTGTTTTCTCATCAAACTTTATAAGGTTAAAAACATTATAAACACGCATTAAGTAGAAATAAAAAGATAAATGTACGTACATTTATTTTTAAAACACCCTCTTTCTAAAAAATATTCTGCGCTTGCGCGAAAACTGGTGGGCGGTAAGGAAATTTTTCCATCAAGAAAGATGCATTAGTGGGCGGTAGGTAGAAAAGGGTTGACTACCACTGGTCTAGATGAAAATTCTTGTTCTTGGGTAGAACACTGGCCTAAAAACAGAGTACAAAGAGTTGTCATTAATGGTAAATTTTCACAGAGGTGGCAAGTGGTGTCCCTCAGGGGTCTGTTCTGGAACCCCTACTATTTAACATTGTGATGAGACCAATTTTGCCACTGTGCATTGGAAGAGCCTGGTTGCCTGCCTGCTGCCTTTCGACTATGGACCGGCATTTAAATACTTTATTTTCCTATGCAGAAAGGTCTATTCCTGCATTTCTGCCCTGGCATTCGGTAGATTCTCGGATTTACTGAATAAACTCATTTAACCCAGATAGCTATGCCATGGAGCCTATTCGTGTAATAAAGACTTTGGCTCCATGGCGACTGAACTGTATGTGTGGTCTGAGCGCCATTCAGTAATAATGTGCGCTCAGACCTAAGCTATCTGGGGATATGTTGCATGTCTGTATTTTATGTAATAAATGTAACCTTGTTTATTTTATTGTATTTTACTGCCATGTGCTTAATGGAGTTTTGCCTCTGTCCTTGGAGAGAATTGGATTACTTCCCAATTATCTCCAGGATAGAAGACTCTGTTGAACTGGTTTTGGGCAGAAAAGCCATGCTTCATTTGGTCACAAAGGACTTCGATCTATCTTTTGAACCACTGGACCAATTTGTATGATTTTGATGTATGTTTGTATCTGGAGTATGCCGATTCTGAAAATGTAAGTTTTATGTGAATGCAATGCATACTTTTCAAGTTATGAATAATGTGGAAAAACTGTATTTATCTGGCTGTGATAATTACATTACCCATTGTGTAATGTAATTGTATCACAGGCAGAGGGGAGGATTTTGTGTGGGAGTGTCTGAGTGTAATGTACGTGTTTATTGGTTGTTTTCCAAAACCCTGTGGGTGGTACTAATGTGTAAGAATGTGTACATAAGAACAATAAACCCACAGCTCTGTCTGTTCCTGCTTGACCCTCAAAACGGAGCCTTGTCTCGTTCTTGGGGGGGGATTTATTGTATGTTGTTCAAGTTCGACTGCTAGGAGTGTAAACCTCTTCGTATGGTTTTTCTTATTCGGCTGTTTACGGCATTCATATGGTTTCCTGTTCGGCGGATTGGTGTTCTGCAGTAGCTGTGCCTGTGTCTCTGGAAGGGAAGATCTACTAAACAGCAGTTTAACCATTTTATGCCTGGGGGTGCCGTTACAAACATGCTTATAAATAATCTTGAAGACAGCATTGAAAGTCAAGTTTCAGTGTTTCTATTATTTTACAAAGTTTTGTGTCATCTGCAATGTGAGCAAGATATTTCTTTGCTGCAGAGGGATTTAGATTGACTGGGGGACTGGGCACTCAAATGGTAGATGAAATTTAATGTTGAAAAAGGCAAAGTTATGCACTTTGGCGTAAAGAATACACAAGCAACGTATACCCTTAATGGAAGCGAATTAGGGATAACAAAATGCGAAAAGGACTTGCGAATTGTTATAGACAACAAACTATGCAACAATGTGCAATGTCAATCAGCAGTGGCCAAGGCCGTAAGGTATTGTCATGCATGAAAAAGGGCATTCATTCTGGGGACGAGAAGATCATTTTGCCTCTTTATAAATCACTGGTAAGACCACATAGTGAATAAGCTTTGCAATTTGGGGCACCTGTTCTAAAGAAGGATATTATGGAACTAGAAAAAGTGCAGAGGCGGGCTACAAAATTAATAAAAGGAATGGAACATATCAGCTATGAAGAAAGGTTAACAAATTTAAACCTATTTAGTTTAGAAAAAAGTCACCTGAGAGGGGATATGATAACATTATACAAATATATTCGGGGCCAATACAAACCATTGTGTGGAAATCTATTCACAAACTGGACTTTACATAGGACACGAGGTCATGCGTTTAGACTGGAAGAAAGAAGATTTCGTCTAAGGCAAAGGAAAGGTTTTTTTTACTGTAAGAAAAATAAGGATGTGGAATTCTCTGCCTGAAGAAGTGGTTTTATCAGAGTCCATACAGATGTTCAAACAGCTACTAGATGCATACTTGCAAAAATAGACTGTTCAAGGATATAATTTTTCAATGTAGGGTAATAACTGCTTGATCCAAGGATAAATCTGACTGCCATTCTGGGGCAAGAAGCAATTGTTTCCTAGCATGCTGCAAAATTTTGCTTCAAACTGGGCTTTTGCCTTCTTTTGGATCAACAGCAAAAAACAAATGTGAGGTAGGCTGAACTTGATGGATGCAAGTCACTTTTCAGCTATGTAACTATGTACAGCTTATTGCAATTGTTCTGGTGGGTATAATCATTTCTTCAGGCTTTTTGCTGTAAACACTGTCTTTCCAGAGAAAATGCAGTGTTTACATTACAGCTTCACTGGCCACTCCTTAGATGGCTGCTAAAGTGGCTTCCTGGGGAAGTGCTGCATAAAATGCATCCAAACATTTAAGGTCTCCTCCCTCTGCATGCAGACACTGAATTTTCCTCAGATATTCATTGATTCAATTCAACTCTATGAGGAGATTCTGATTGGCCAGGGCTGTGTTGGAATTGTGCTGGATCTGCCCCTTTGACAGTCTCAGCCAGTCCCATCAAGAAGCACTGTGATAGGCTTAGACTACCACTTCTGATGTCAGCAGGCAGAGGCAGTTCACAGGCAGCAGGAACACAAATATAGAGGTAGCAGCTGCAGACTTTTAATACAAGCAAGATTTTACTATATTTAGGGTGGCAAGAGATGGCCAGGGGGAGCTAGATGGTGGTTTTCCTGACCCTATAGTGCTCCTTTAAATATTAATGTAAAATACATAAAAATACAGTTTTTGATGAAAGCATTGTAGCAGGAACACAAGCTGAAAGGATGACTGGAAAACATTTTTCAGTATAAAAACTATTCTATATGGTGGATGCACCCCCACATGGGCATGAGCCAACTGATCCAATCATGCAGTGACTATATATTTTTCCACTACTTTTGGGCTAAACTAGAAGCCTAAATTTAGGCAGCACTACCTACACATCAGAAGGGAGAGTGAAGAAGCAAGAGGCGGAGGATGACAGGGCCTCCTCCGGGTGAAGCCTACACATTTGCTCCTGTGCCTTTAAACATTGGCCAGCCTTGGCTGAAAGTTGCTCTGGGCATTACCATGGTGCATCAACCACTATCTTAACCACATAACCCGTTTAACATTGGGCTGTCTGTAATGCTAGTTGATACCACCTTGCATTTATATGCCCTTAAAGGTTACTGTTCGCATCAGTCTTATTTCTTTTACTTTGTGCAGAGCTGTAATATGATAGAGAGAGTCGGGATCCAGTGGTCTTTTCTAGACCATCAAGATCAGCAGTATTTTTTATATACAAGTTCATCCACTATTAGTTATCTAGCCAGTCACCCAATGCATAGAATAGTCTAGTACTCACCTGTCTAGTATTTCTCATACGTTTGATTATTCTGTTTGTCATCGGTACCTAGACAGTATGGCTATGGTGCTTAGGGATCAGACTCTCCTAGTCTTCAATCATTTAAGAAGTGCCTTAAAACTCATTTCTTTAGGAAAGCCTATGGCCTCCCAGACGAACCTCTACCTCACATACCTGTCTCTTGCTCTCTCCTAAAGGGCACCACTCTACTCTCTCCTCCAGCTCTGCTTCACTCCCACCTATTTTGATTTCTATTCCCTGTCCTAATGTGTTTTATAACCCACCTCCTATAGACTGTAAGCTCGTTTGAGTTTTCTTGTAATTGTCCTATTTATAGTCAAATCCCCCCTCTAATAATATTGTTGGCGCTATATAAATAATAATAATAATAATAATAATAATAATAATATTTTATTTTTAATACAAAACAGTTCTATAGATATTTTTGTATTACAATATATAAATGACAATATTTCTTAATTGGTAACTGGTTATATTAAATAAGACTGGCAGTAAGAAAAAATACCCTTACATTACACATTCTGCATGTAATATCCCTTTGGTAAATCTCAAAGTATTGCTAGGACTAGTGCTTCCCTCCTGTGCAGCACTTGGAATGCTATCTAAGATTTAAATCAGAACGTACTGGAGAGAATCGCATTAGTATGCAATACAACCCTCCAGGCCATTTGTATGCATTATAATTACATTGCATTATTAACTACAGAGTCCTTAGCAGATTTACAGGCATCTGTATCTCACAACCACCAACCTCAAATGTCCCAGCAGTTAGAATGGTCTTATGCACCCAAAAAACAAGCCGCATAAATAAAAAATTTTTTAATGATATCGCCAAAGTTGAGTGATGAATCCAGTGGTCAGCCTGTATTTAGAAACTTGCATGACGTTTATTTTAATACAGGGTTCAATTTACCTTCAGATTCAGGCAAGTGAAAAATAAATGAGATATACACACACGTTACTTGATTTCTGCTGGCATGTTTGGGGGATGTCAGTCTAAAGAACATGCACACACTAATCTACAAGAAGCAGAGGCTGGAAGTTCCTTTGTCATCATACTGCGGCTGGTGCTTCCTTGGCTGCAGTGCTGGGTATCATGTTAGCAGCTATTAATGTAGCACTTAACATGTGCATTAGAGATGAAATATTTGATCGAGGACAAAGTCGTCCCAGCAGATCAGCATTGCTCATTATACAAAGCACTGTATACTCCTCAAAGTAAAAAAGATTAATGTAACACGGAAACAGACAATAATACACACCAGTCATTTTCTTAACGCTGGTTTGTTAAAGGTACACTCTAGTCACCAGAACCCCTACAGGTTAATGTAGTGGCCCTGGTGTCTATGGGTTTTTCAGAGAAAAGGCAATGTTTGAGTGACTGCCACTAGAGGGGCTTCCTTGTCCAGTGCTGCACCTATGTTCAGTGTCTCCACGCACTGCAGGAAGATGCTGAATGAACCCCATAGACACATGTTAATTCAATACATCTCCATGAGGAGATACGGATTGGTGCAGCACTGCATTTTGCCAAGGTCATCAAGATTGTTGATCTCAGCTATGAGTAGGGCCAGCAGCAGTGAGACGGGCATGGCAATGGAGAAAAGATAAGTAAAGCTCACCTTTTAATGCACTTTGAGGGGGGCTGGGGACCTAAACATTACATTTTTAAATTCCTAACACCAATGTTTGTAACTTGTTCCAGTGTGTTCTACACTTCCCAACACACCCCCATGCACCTTAGATAGTGTGGTCATACAGATGAGTGATTTTGACAAGGTCCAAGTAGTGATGACTAGACAACTGGGTTGAGCATCTCCAAAACGACAAGTCGTGTTGGGAGTTCAAAATATGCTGTGGTTAGTAGCTACCAAGAGTGGTGCAAGGAAGGACGACTGGTCAGCCAATATTAGGGACATGGGCGTCCAAGGCTCATTGGAGCAGACAGGCTAGCCCATCACTTCCCACATGTATTAAATCACACAGCAGAGCTACTGAAGCTCAAACGGCAAAAAAAAAAAAATGTAAAAAAAATTGTAGTGCTGGCCAGGATAGAAAAATGTCAGAATACACAGTGCATCACAATTTGATCTGTAGTTATGCTGCCCCGTACACAGACAGAAAGCTCATGATGACCCCTGCCCGCCGCTGAATGAACCTTCAACGGGGACGTGGGCATCAGAACTGGACCAGGACTGAGGGAAGAAGGAGGATGAAAATCACTTTTAGATCAGGTGAAGGGCCGTATGCGTGTCCTGGAGAAAAAAAAACTACAAAACACTCAGCCAGAAGCAGCATTATGTTCATGTGGATGATACATTGACACCTACCTAGAGATTGCTGCAGACCATGTACCCCTTTTCATGGCAATGGTGTTCCCTGATAGCAGTGGCCTCTTTCAGCAGCACAATGTACCCTGCACATACATACATACATACATACACACAGGGGCGTACCTAGAGCATTTGGCACGCGGGGCGGATCCTGTGTTTTGAACCCCCCCCGCAAAAAGAAAAATCTGTAAATTTTTTTAAAAGGTTTTCTTTTTACAATTTGTAAACTTTGCAAAACCGCTGTCAGCCCCTCCTACAAAACCTCTGTCCTGCCCCTTCTACAAATCCTGTACTGCCCCGTCTACAAAACCCCCGCAACCCCCTTCCACAAATCTCCTGCAGCCCCACACACACACACACACATACACAGTTACAGGCAGACAGTTACACACAGACAGTCTCTCACACACACAGACACACACTTACTTACAGACAGTGGGATGGAGGAGGACTGGATTCTCTGAAGCCTGTGGAGAAGCAGAGATTCCATCTTGCTGCACCTCCTAACAGCAGTGGGTAAGGCCCATATTAAACCCCGCCCCCAGTGCCAGTTTGTCTCCACCCCAATTTTGCTTAGCCCCACCCCACTTTTCCTCCGTGCGGCCAGTTTATCAGCTGTTTGCACCGGCCCTGTACAGCTCACACAAGCAAGGATTTTTGCCGCCCTAAACCCTTTTTTTAAAATAAATATCAGTTTCAATGAGACAGCCACTAGAGGCTGGATTAACCCATATGTAAACATAGTAGTTTCTCTGAAACTGCTATGTTTACAGCAGGCAGTGTTAACCCTAGATGGACCTGGAACCCAGATCACTTAATTAAACTGAAGTTGTCTGGGTGCCTATAGTGGTCCTTTAACCCCTTAAGGACACATGACGTGCGACATGCCATGATTCCCTTTTATTCCAGAAGTTTGGTCCTTAAGGGGGTTAATTTGCATATCCAGATAGATTTGCATATTGCAGTTTCTGCAGGCAGGAGAGATATTTTGAGATATTACTTTCCCATCCCTTTATAAAATATATTATGCCATTATAATTTCTTGCATATTTTGTGACATTTAGGTTATTTAAAAATTACGTTTGTCACAGCAATGTATGTTAAAATAAAGTAATGCATGTTAACTCCTATTGGAACTTTGTCACTGGGATCCCTAAAAATCCATACAGAACAGTTGTAGGACCTGTTGGCTGGTTGAATGATCCCTCTAGCCCTGGGATAAATTAAGAAAGCTAGGCCTCAGAGTCACAAGTGCCCGTGTACAGGCACTAAGCAGAGCTGCAGAGGTGACGATACCTGCCTGGAAGGAGAACTGCAGCCAGGTCAGGTGGAAGAGTACGAAAAAAAATAACCCAGTGATGCTGCAGTGACTGGGGCAGAAGTTCTTCAGATTTCCTGGTTCCAATTAGGAAACAAGCTTGGCGGAGGTACAGGGAGCTCCGCCACAAAAGATCATTTAATAGTTTTAACAAATACAAATGTATTCTAATATCCTTGTGAAATAAAAAGTAATTGAAAGACAACAAATTGAATCTCTGTAACATGCCAGCCAAATCAGAATTTAAAAGACCAATCCATGCACCATAATCACAACAGCCCACTATATAGTGTCAGGAGTACACCTTGCCCTGCTTCCAGAAACTTTTGTAAGGCAATGTCATGCTGGTTTTGATATGAGAAAAAAAGAAAAAAAATAGGCTTTGCTGTGTCAATAGCAGACTTATATTACAATAACAATGCAAGGAAATGATTGTGACCCAGAGCGGAGGAGCAAGATAAATAGAGAGCACCTTGAGACCATCTTAACATCTATTTGCATAGGACTCTACAGAAAACTGTATAGGTTTTCTGCACCACTTTGTTTATTTGTAACATTCAGTGTTGGAGACTGGACTTGGAGAAGTTATGTTTAAGTAAACAGGTGAGCATTTAAATTACACCTTTAGAGACATATACCAGCTGAAAGAATGTTAAACACATGATTCACCTCTGGTGCCTGACACAGTCAGTTTGTAAATCAAATGTCTAGAGTCGACATAGCTGTCCATGGCGCTTTGTTAAATCTTTTTCTACATGGTCATTTTAAAGCAAAAACTATTAAGTCAAGGATGGATGACCATTCGGAATAGAAATCTCTTTGGTCTTTTAAAATACAGATAAAATTATACCTCTTTCTACATACACACCTATATATTTTGAAAACTCAAGTCCTACACCACTATAAAGGCCTTACTTGCCAATGCACTCCAGAGGTGAGTTTTGCTACATCAGGGCTCGACAGATTCCAGGTCGCCATGACGTCATTACTAAACAGCGCTTTATGGAGCAGAGCAGGGAGATGACTGAAGCCCCACTGGACCTCAGGGAAAGCCGGATAACTCCAGCTCCAGGTATGGAGGCTGGGTGGTCACCTTATGTGTGTTATTGCAGTGACAGAATGTGAGTGTGTCAGTGACTGGTCCCCCTCCAGTCACATGGGTAAGGGGGCTTTTACTCATCTCCCCCTCCCCCCCCCCCACACTATATTGTCTAGCTGCAGATGGCCCCGTCTCCATGACTGCGATCAGCAATCTTGATCTCAGCCAATCCGATGCCTTCCCATAGGAAAGCATTAGGAAGCTATTAAAACGCCATGCTTCGCCAATCAGCAACTCCTCATTGAGATTAATTGAATGAATACATCTCTATAGGGAAAATTCAGCGCCTCCATGCAGAGCGTCGAGACGCTAAATGTAGGTACAGCACTGACCCAGGATGCACGCTAGAGGCAGTCTGAGTGACTTTCACTAGAAGTGTTGATAGGCAACAATGTAAATACTGCCTTTTCTCTGAAAACCATGTGACTGTATGCTTCACACATTTTCACAACAACAGGAGTAAATGCAATTCGACTGATTTTTTTAATATATAGATTTGCTTAAATGCAAGTTTCTTTTGAAAGTTCAGTCTAGATTCATTATCAGGACATCAAGCCATGATAACAAAAGGTAGACACGTGATGTTTAAAAACAACCACCACTACACAACAGAGGTAAGCTTTTGGGTTGATATCTAGCTCAGTGTAAGATTTATGCTGCCTGGATTTTTTTATTGCCATGTTCCATTTTTTTGTCAAACCACGAGAGTGCTTTAAAGGACCACTCTAAGCACCCAGACCACTTCAGCTTAATGAAGTGGTCTGGGTGCCAGGTCCTTCTAGGGTTAACCCATTTTTTCATAATTATAGCAGTTTCAGAGAAACTGCTATAATTATGAATGGGTTAAGCCTTCCCCCTATTCCTCTAGTGGCTGTCTCATTGACAGCCACTAGAGGCGCTTGCGTGCTTCTCACTGTGATTTTCACAGTGAGAGCACGCAAGCGTCCATAGGAAAGCATTGTAAATGCTTTCCTATGTGACCGGCTGAATGCGCGCGCAGCTCTTGCCGCGCGTGCGCATTCAGCCGACGGGGCGGAACGGAGGAGGAGAGCTCTCCGCCCAGCGCTGGAAAAAGGTACGTTTTAACCCCTTTCCCCTTTCCAGAGCCGGGCGGGAGGGGGACCCTGAGGGTGGGGGCAGGAAATCGAGTATGTTTTCCTGGCACTATAGTGGTCCTTTAACAAAAAACAGGGGCTCACCATGGCACATGGAGACAATTGGCCCAGCTAGACCAATAATACACAAGTGTAATTTTCACATTATCAAATACAATCTTGTCCAAATCAAAGGTATGGCTTAGCACAGCGATCTCAGTCTACCAATGCTGAGACACTACACTACAACCATTGCGTAGAGTTGTATTAGTTAGATTGCTTAGAATGTTCCTTTAAAGGGTTACGGTACTTCAAGTACATTAACCCCTACAGCAGAATGTGAAAAGGGCATTGGCTAAATTCCCTGGTAATGGGACAAACCATTTTACCTGGGTCCCACCAGTCTCACAGGGTCCCATGACATGGCTTCTGCAGAGCTGCAGAAGATTTAATGATCAGTCCCCTCATTCATGGTTTGAGAGTGTCATCGGATTGTGCTCAGTCAATGAACTACATTTTGTGCATAAGAATACATGGAAACTGTTGACAGTATAGGGGTTAAACTTTGTATGTTCAGAGGTTTGCTATGAGATGCTAATCATATGGATTCCATGCGAAATGGAATGTAGTAATGCGAAATCTGCATTACTACATAGAGTGGCTTGCTTAAAGGACCTCTATAGTACCAGGAAAAGGGAAAGGGGTAAAAACTTACCTTTTTTCCCAGCGCTGCGCGGGGAGCTCTCCTCCTCCGATCCTCCTTCTCTCCTCCCTGTCGGCTGAATGCGCACGCGCGGCAAGAGCTGCGCGCGCATTCAGACGGTCACATAGGAAAGCATTCACAGTGAGAAGCACGCAAGCGCCTCTAGTGGCTGTCAATGAGACAGCCACTAGAGGAAATAGGGGAAGGCTTAACCCATTCATAAACATAGCAGTTTCTCTGAAACTGCTATATTTATGAAAAAATGGGTTAACCCTAGCTGGACCTGGCACCCAGACCACTTCATTAAGCTGAAGTGGTCTGGGTGCCTAGAGTGGTCCTTTAATCTGTATTAAGAGATGCATGGTAGGCATTAAGAAAGATACATTTCACCTCAAATGGTTAAACAAAAAAAAAAAATTAAAAAAAAATGTCTCACTCAATTAGGAGAGGGAGGGAGAGAGACAGAGAGATATTTTAACACAAGCTCATTTTTTTGGCTGAGCAATATCAACATAAGAACAAATTGTCCTAATAATGGTACGAAGATTTGCTTCATCACAAACATTGGATTGGAAAAATACGCTAGTGATTGTAAAGGTTGTTTCTGTGATACACCCACTCAGGACCAGCTGCTGGGACTTCAAATATTTAATGCTGGAACATGCAGCAAACCTCTTTCTGGCATTAGTTTCATGGGATTTTCCTTCATTAGAAAGCAGAAAACAAAAAACAAAACCCATACGGAATTAAACAAAACAGACAAAACTGCAGCTAGAGAAGTTATAATAATCCAATGAGGCAAATACTGCAAGAATAGACAGCTCATAAATCAATGTTCTTTTTTTAAAAAAAGCATTAGTGAGCAATTAAGTGCGAAAAAGTAAATTTAGGCAAGATAAAAAAAAAAACCCTAACAAAAAGGGAACGGTCATTTCTCTGGACTTAATACCATGGACTAAAATGGTACCATGGACTAATCTTTCAGGAGCTGCTCCATTTTATTTTAAAGACAGGGCACACATTGCAGACAGAGCAGAAATAGAAATATTGTTTAAAGGGATACTCCAGGCACCAAAACAACTTCATCAGAATTAAGTTGTTTTGGTGGCAGGACTCCAGAGGCACTTTTACCTCAAGTGGTTAAACATCTTGAACAGTTCAACCCCAGAGTTGCCTCCAGTGCTGGTCTCTACCGCTCCCCTGGCAGGCAAGTGTATCTCTGGGGGCCTCCTGGCACCAACATAACTTAAAGGACCACTATAGTGCCAGGAAAACATACTCGTTTTCCTGGCACGATAGTGCCCTGAGGGTGCCCCCACCCTCAGGGTCCCCCTCCCGCCGGGCTCTGGGGAGAGGAAGGGGTTAAACTTACCTCTCTTTCTCCAGCACTGGGCGGGGAGCTCTCCTCCTCTTCGGCTGAATGCGCATGCGCGGCAGGAGCTGCGTGCGCATTCAGCCAGTCCATAGGAAAGCATTCACAATGCTTTCCTATGGACGCTGGCGTCTTCTCACTGTGATTTTCACAGTGAGAAACGCGGAAGCCCTCTAGCGGCTTTCAATTAGACAGCCACTAGAGGCTGGATTAACCCTAATATAAACATAACAGTTTCTCTGAAACTGCTGTGTTTATAGAAAAAAATGGGTTAACCCTAGATGGACCAGGCACCCAGACCACCTCATTAAGCTGAAGTGGTCTGGGTGCCTATAGTGGTCCTTTAATTTATTAGTTATTGTTTTGGTGCGTTCCTTCAAATTTTTCTGTATGCTGACTACAGGTACAAAATACAGATGGTGATTAACAGGGAGCCAAGATGGAGGCACCCACGTTGCCTCAGGTGTGTTTGAGACGCCCATTTTTCATATTTGTGATGTTGGCGATTCTTTTCAGGGGGTTGAATAATAAATGAGACTGGAGATGTCATTTTCAGTTGAAGCATTTGTTATGTTGAGCTATTTCAATAGGTTTGGTTTGATTTGATTTGTTCATTGCAAACAGCTGAAAGTCTGCACATTTTGACATTAAGCCTTCTATTCAATCATTCAGATCATTTTTATGTGTACATGTAGTTTTCTCAATGCTCGAAAAGGTGACATAAACCATGAAAATAACTCAAATATACAAGTAAAAAGGGCATCTAATAGATTTGGCCCGGTGACTTCCACAAAAACCAGTACATGGTCAGGTTTATGTAATGTCCTTGAAAATGAAAAAAAAAAAAAAAGAGGAAAAAAAAAAGAAAGAAACCTCTCTGTATTTGAGATGAAGTGGCTGGACCAATCACCTCCAGACACAGCATATAGAATACGCTTGGTTGAGCATATGGTGGAAATGTTACGATCTAAGCAGCCATGCTCTCTCAAAAGGTGACATAGGCCCAGAAAATCACTTTCATTAAAATTTCCAAGTATGGGGGGGCGGGGCTGACGGCTGAAGTGAGCGGCCGCATGGCGTGAGAGCTCCCGGCGGCATATGATCTCTAAGCCTGATATCTTGAAGCATACCGCTCGAAAAACGACACAAATAAAGGTACATACCTACTACTGCTGTGATGGCCCCTGCTAAACAAATGAAGCTCACAGATCCAATCCGCCAACAAAAAAAAAAGATAGATCCCGGTCCACCCAAGATGGCGGCGACGGACCCGCGCTATCCCAAGCCTCAGACTCCACACAAGAACAGGATCATGAGGCAGGCACCTATACAGACGCTCCAGTTACAGAGAGAAAGCTTTTCTCCATGCTGCAGGACAACGCTGCAAAAAGACCTGACACAGGCTACTAATGATATTAAAAAGGAAATCTCAGAATTGGGGGAGAGAACCAATAGCCTGGAAGCCAGACAAGACGAGCTATGCTCGGCACATGACACATTGGCGACAGCTGTACAGCACCTAACTGAAGAACACATGTCCCTTAAAAAGAAGATGGCCGACATGGAAGATCGCTCAAGGCGAAACAACGTCAGGTTCCGAGGAATCCCGGAATCCGTTACAAACGACAACCTCGCAGAGAGCATAATGTCCATATGCAAATCCCTGGTCCCAACAATACCAGACGCAGAATGGCTTATGGACCGGGCGCACCGCCTACCAAGGCCCCAAAGGCTAACACCAGATACGCCGCGAGACATAGTCGTGCGTTTCCACTACTTCAAAACAAAGGACGCAGTACTGGCGGCGGCTAGAAAAGGAACAAATCTGCCTACACCATATGAAAATGTCCAGCTATACGCAGATCTCTCGGCCTTGACCATGAGCAGGAGACGAGAGTTTATAACAGTTACAAAAACACTGAGGAACAACAACATTCAATATCGCTGGGGATATCCGACCAAGATAATTGTCTGGAGGAACGGAAGATCACATACAGCAAACGAACCGGAGGTGGGCATGCGGCTTCTAAAGGAATGGGGTCTCTTTCCGTTACGCTCACCAGAAAAAACGCCGGCAGAATCGCCAAGCCGTCCAGAGAGAATGGCAGATGGCGGGGTCACCCTCTCTACCTTAAAAGTCCACTGGGCCCTTCCAACTAAGACTGTGATAGTGTCTCATAGTGACTGTCCTGCTTGCTTTTTGCAAAACAAACTGACAAGGTGTTGTGAGTATAATGCATATGCACACATGTCTAGACCTACAACACTACAGTGCTAGCAATACCCATTTGAGACAAAATCAGGTTGAGAAGGGAGAAACCTAAGGTTTTCGGGGATGAGTACAACATGAGCCGGGGATCATCAGAACAAAGGAAAGTCCCAGACACCCACACAAACGGATAGGCGGATTAAAACGGTAACAAGCAAAAGTTTAGATAGATATATAGCCTAAGGTACACTCCCATACATCCAAAGGGCCAGGTACTTTTAATCTCCGTCTCACAGGGGCAGAATACTCTTGCGAGAAAGGCGGTTCACCTAGTCCTGACAGAGGTCGTAAATGCCGGCCTCTCTACGTCAGACGAACCCCTAGGACTTGAGAGCAGAGACGGGACTGTTTGCCCGGCTCGCACTCAATTCAAGTAAAGCGCTGAAAAAACGAATGGCGCTATGTACATACTTCATTTTGTTATTGTTGTTTACCCCTCTCTTTCCCCGCCTCTGGGCAATACTAAAGATAGGCGCTGAACACAACCACTCGAATACGTACGCACCATATATGCATCCTACAAAAGAATTAGAATGGCTAATGCTATGAAAATTTTAACCCTGAATGTGAAAGGCCTTAATAGTCCCCACAAGCGCAGAATGGCGGCACAGGAAATGATCAAGGCTAAAGCAGCAATAGTGTGTTTGCAGGAAACACACTTTTGCGCCCGGAACCCACCGAAATTCAATGTTAAACACTATAATCAATGCTACCACGCCTTAGCTCCGACTAAATCCAGGGGAGTAGCCTTATATTTCCATAACGACTGGGCGTTCGCCCTCTCCAAACAATACGCCAGACGGGATGGGAGGTTACTGATCTTGGTGGGATCGCTGAATGGCCTAAAAATGACCTTAGTCTCGCTATATGCACCGTATGACTCGCAGAAAACCTTTTTAAACATGACCTTCCGTATAATAGCACAATACAGAGAGGGTCACACCATAATTTGCGGGGACTTTAATTGCACTCCCGACCCCTCCCTAGACATCAGAAGGGTTAACAATGAATCGTTAAAACCAGCCTCCTTGGCCTTAGGCCAACATCTAAGCAGACTCATGCACGAACACGATTATTATGACACGTGGCGAAATTTACACCCACAAGAGAGAGATTTCACCTATTACTCGCCCGTTCATATGACACACCAGAATAGATTTATGTCCGATCGCGCGCCACAAATTGTAACAATACAGATCCCATACCCGGCTAGGGGACGAGGTACGTGGCGTCTCAACGAACGCCTTCTCGACATCCCTGAATATCTTATCCAGATACGAGCCCAGGCAGAGGATTACTTTAAGAACCACGAAAAATGCCAGACGTCAATAACAACACAATGGGTAGCATAATTCAATTAGGGGCGAGGGCAAAAAAGCAACATAACAACGATAAAACACAATTAGAACAAGATTTAATTGCAAATGAAGAGGCACACAAACGGAATCCCACAAGCAGCACACACGAAAAAGTAGCAGGAATTAGAGCAAAACTGAACTCACTTCAGCTAAAAGAGAATGCGGTCCCTTAAGCAATCATACCACACCATGGGAAATAAGGCAGGGAAGCTCCTGGCTAGAAAGGTCCATCAAATCAAACTACAAACAAAAATTCCCTACATTACCTCGGAACGAGGAGTAAAATTATATAACCCCCAAGATATAGTCAACGAATTAGCAAGGTATTATGAATCCCTCTATCAATTAGTCAATGATCATAGCACATATCAACCAAACATATCGGAAATAGAGCGCTTCATTGAACAAGTTGAGCTTCCATGTCTATCTCACGCACAATGCTCCTCTCTGGAAGAACCCTTCTCAGAGGAAGAAATAGAGAACGCCATTAAGACCCTACCCAAACACAAAGCCCCTGGCCCAGATGGCTTATCAAACTATTATTACATAAAACTATCCCCACAACTGGTCACCCCCCTCACCAAACTCTTCAATAACATAAAAGACTCTGGGATAATGCCCAAGGAAATGCTGGAAGCCTTCATTGTAACGCTGCCCAAACCAAATAAACCCCCCACCCACTGCGCTAATTTACGCCCGATTTCCCTTCTGAACGCAGACACAAAATTGTATGCCAAACTGATAGCGACGAGGCTCAAAACGATACTCCCGGATCTAATTTCCGCAGAACAAGCGGGGTTCGTACCAGGGAGACAGGTGGGGGACAACACACGACATTTTATGAACCTTATAGATTGGGCAAATCTAACATCTCAGTCCGGCCTGATTTTGGCGCTGGACGCTGAAAAGGCTTTTGATCGCCTCCATTGGGACTACATGTCACTGTCACTATCCAAAATGGGGTTCACCCCAAAAATCCTGGCAAGCATTCTTGCCTTATACCGACATCCAACAGCCAGAGTGTTCAGCACAGGCTTCGTATCCAACCAAATAGAGATAAGGAATGGCACAAGGCAGGGATGCCCTCTCTCACCCCTCATTTTCATACTGAGCCTGGAACCCTTGATTCGCCTCATTAAAAGCGACTCGGCGATACAGGGTCTCCAAACACCAGGTGGCACACAGAAACTGGCATTATTCGCAGACGATGTTTTAGTGTTTATAACACACCCAGAATCCTCTCTACCACAACTCCTACATAGACTTGACACATATAGGCAGGTATCTTACTATAGAAACAATTCCCTGAAGACACAAGCACTGCCCATAAATCTGCCAAGTACCACTGTAACGACACTAAAATCACAACACTCATTCGATTGGCGGAAGGACTCCCTACAATACCTAGGGATCAAACTCACGAAAACCACCCAAACCATTACAAGGGAAAACCATCACCCGGTCATTCAGAAACTTAAACTCACACTAGAGAAATGGGAGGGTCTTGAAGTGTCCTGGTTAGGCCGAATCAAACTTGTGAAAATGATGGCCTTGCCGCACATTTTGTACCTGTTCAGAACCCTACCCATCGCGCTACCGACCAAATTACTAAAACTCTATCAAAGCACCATAAACGCACATGTAGGGAAGCGGAAGCCCCCGAGAGTAGCAAAAGGTACTCTAGGGCTATCAAGCACAGACGGGGGTCTGAATATGCCAGACATTAAGGCTTACTACAGGGCGCCCGCTCTAGCACAGGGTCTCTGTCTATTGCGCCCCACATGCACACTGCGACGCCCTATATGGTTTGCAATGGAGAGTGCCTGTCTGAATACCCACGATCTGTCAAGTTATCTATGGGCGGGAGGGCAAACGCGAGTGGCGACAGGAAAACAACTGCAGAGCACAAAGTTCTTACTGATGGCCTGGAATAAATGGAGTCCAAACATAGCAGACCCCAAATCGCTCTTCCACTCAGCACCCCTGACATCATTAGAAATACTCTCCCTTGACCTGAAGATGGATTGATGGAGGGAGGGAGGTGCACATAGGGTTCGGGACATCTTAGTAGGGGACAAGGTTAAGCTATTTCCAGAGTTGCAAAAAGACCTACGCTTGCCAGCGAGGGATATCTTTCTATATCTCAGAGTAAAAAATATAGTACACTCGCATATCCGCAAACTCACCAGTCGCTCTTTCACACCCTGCCTAACAACGACACAGATACTCACCACCAGGCATGTAAAGCCACTGTCAGCGTGCTACAAAGCATTGATCACCAGCCATACATGACACAGTGGGAAAGGGACCTGGGTCTCCAGATCTCCAGGGCAGACTGGATGACAGCTTTGGAAGTCACAAAACGGGCTTCGCAAAGCCTTACGACCTGGGAAGCATACTGCAAGGTTTTAATGCGGTGGTATCTGGTATCACAAAGACTAGCACACATGTACCCGGGCACATCCGGGAAATGCTGGAGGTGCAACATCAGTGAGGGATCCATAATCCATATTTTCTGGGCCTGTCCCCTACTAACAGACTATTGGGAAAAGTTCACTCCCTCATACTAGATAAGACAGGATTCATCCTACCCATGAAGCCAGAACACTACATTCTCCACATAGTACCCGGTATTGCCTCCCACACACACAGAAAGGTAATTCTCAACATACTCACGGTAGCAAAAATAATGTTGGCAGGTAGCTGGAAGAGTAATCAAACACCAGCTGTACCCAATATCATTAACAGAATGGACCTGATTAGTCAGTATGAGAAAATGGCAAGCAGAGTAAACGGCTGTAGTGAGAGATATGACAGAGAATGGAGTAGCTGGCCGGCTGAGAGTTAACAGGTTGATCAGGGGAAATAGGGTCACACACAGGGTTACATTCAACAATGCACTACAAAATGCAATATCTATTGTCCAGGGCACCCCCCCCCTTACCCCCTCCCTTTTTCTTCTGTACCCCTTCCTTATCCCCTAGTTAAAAGTTATATAACTATTGCAAGGCTGCTAGTGTATCAGATGTGCCTATCCACACCGAACCGACACATAATACGAACGCAGGACAAACCATAGCACGCAATACCAGTGCTCCTCGGTGCGGACAACCCAAGGTCATATCATCCTGGATGATAAAAAAGAAATCAGATTTGCACGAGGAATATGCGGGGTAAATCTTTGAAACATGGTATCCACAGCTGCGCCTGTGACTGGTTTGGCATGTCAAAATTGCACTGCGCTGCAAAATGTTTGATCCTTTATGCACCAATAAAAAAGATAAATGAGAAAAAATTTCCAAGTATGAAGCATAATATTTAATCCCTGTAACTTTCAAAAACCACAAAACCTGTAAAACAGTTGTATTTTTATGTGGAAAAAAAAAAAAAAAAAAAAAAGCTTTTCCAGCTGTCCACCCCTAGGAAAGCATTGGATTGTCTGAGAGTCAATTTTGAGAATCATAGCCAAGGAGGCAGGGCCAGCACAGTGCTGGCATACATTTTATTACATTTTTAAGGGAACAAGGGAGAAGACAGCCACTTATAGTTTTTAACACTAAAGATTAAAGAATAATCACATTAGCATGCCTGACCCTATAGTGCTCCTTTAAATGAAAGCTGTAAGTTCTGATTAAACGAGCCTATGGCTCAAATTCTAAGTTTGGTTTTGGGCTTGTAGAATTGGCTCCGTCTTTAAGGGGTTAATACGGTGTTCCTTTCCAATGTCTACTCGTAAGCTGACTGTTAGGCTTCTTTACATACACACACAAATTCTAGTAACACTACATTATAAGAATAGCTTTGCCACAATTAACAAGGTGTCAAGTGGTTTTCAATCATGCAGAGTGTTATGTATAATCGAAAGTTTTTGAAATAAAGACAAATCTAATAAGAACAAAACAAAAAAAAAAAAAAAAAATAAAACCAACCCACAACAAATATACAGTTTCTTTTCCCAGGCAAACCTCACTTTCACAGTGATTAAAAGGATCACTATAGGGTCAGGAACACAAACATGTATTCCAGACCATATAGAGATCCTTTTAATCACTGTGAAAGTGAGGTTTCAATGGGAAAAGAAAATGTATATTTGTTGTGGTTTTTTTTGTTTGTTTTTCTTGTTAGATTTGTCTTTATTTCAAAAAAACCTTCGACATTTTACAGACCCTATAGTGTTTAACCCAGCATATAGGTCAATGCATCTCTGAGGAAAATTCAGAGTCTCCTTGCAGAGCGTGGGGACGCTGAACGGCAGGGCTGCTTACTGTGCAGCCATGAACCAGGAAGCCCCTCCAGTGGCCATCTAAGGAGTTGCTACTTAGCGGTGTCCCTAGGGGCAATGTAAACACTGCCTGAAGGGAGATATTATACTCACCAGAACAACTACATTAAGCTGTAGTTCTTGTGAATATAGTGTCCCTTTAAACAACCCCCCCAAATTTGGTTTAAACCCCCAGTCTAAATTCATAGTTCGGTTTATGAACAGATTTCCTGACAAATGGTTTGTATTGGCTCAATATATTTATATAATGCTATCATATCCCCTCGGAGGCACTGTTTTTCCAAACTAGAGATTTAAATTTATTAACCTTTCTTCATAAAAAAAAGTTCTCAATTTTTTTCCACTGAAATCCCAACAGTCAAAATTAGATTTGAAAAAACAAAACAAAAAAACCCCACAAACTTTCAAAAAAAGTTTCAACATGTACTCACAGTCAAATCTTCAAAGAGTACATGTGTTACATTTTGCTGAAAGTTTGTCTGATCCGTGTGCCATGCATAATAGACTCCTTACTCTCCCTTCACATGTTGGCTCGCAGAATTGATGTGCAATTCTGCAAGTCAACATGTGGAGGGAGAGTAATAAGTATGTTCTGTATGCCTTCTTCAAAAGCAGTCTAATAAAAAACTCATTTTGCTAGCCCACTACACCAGGGGGAGGGGAGGAGGGTGACTGATTCCTTAAAAGGATCACTATAGTGTTTAGGAACACAAACATGTATTCCTGACCCTATAGTGTTAAAACCACCATCTAGCACCCCTGGGCCCCTCATGCCTCCATAAATATAGCAAAATCTTACTGTATTCAAGCCAGAAGCTGTAACTCTGCATGCTGTTAAACTCAGAAAACAAGCAGTCTGCTGACATCATCAGAAGTGGTAGCCTGATCCAATCACAGTGCTTCTCCAAAGGATTGGCTGAGACAGACAAGGAGGCAGATCAGGGGCAGAGCCAGCATGATTCAAACACAGCCCTGGCCAATCAGCATCTCCTCATAGAGATTCATTGAATCAATGAATCTCTGAGGAAAGTTCAGAGTCTGCATGCAGAGGGAGGAGACACTTAATGTTTGGATGCATTTTAGGCAGCCATGACCCACAAATGATCTCTAACAGCTATCTGAGGAGTGGCCAGTGAAGTTATCACTAGGTTGTTTTTACAGCAAAAAGCCTGAAGGTAATGATTCTACTCACCAGAACAAATCCAATAAGCTGTAGTTGTTCTGGTGACTATAGTGTCCCTTTAAGGCAAGCCTGCAGAACATACAGCCCCGCTAGCACATGTCCAGTATAGGGCCTGGCCAGATGCTGTTGCACTTTAGCAGCACAACATGGCCCCTTGCTGTTCAGCCGCCTGGGAGGAAGAGTGATGGAGTCCTGCGGGAGGGGGAGGAGGCAGCCAAACGAGACTGGAGCCGCACAGAGTGAAAAAAGAGGACTTTATAAGAAAGAAGTACATCAAAATACACAAACAGGTAGTACTCACACTATGAATTAATGGCATTATTGGCCAGTAAAAATACCCTTGGCTGGGTTGTTTTGTGGTATAGTCCATTACATTAGAGCATTTAACCATCTGTGTTCAGAAACTAAAATCTAAAGTTAAAGAACCCCCCCCCCAAAAAAACAAAACAAAAAAACAACCCACAAGAACCATAACTACAGCTTGCTATAGTGATTATGGTTCCATGAGTGTCTTGATGCACCCCCTATTGTAAGTAGTGTGTTTTTGCATGGATTTACTTTCATTGAGTAAGAGGGGCATTGCTTGAAAGCAAGAACTTACATTAGTACTCCTAAGCCAAGCACATAGCTCATTAGCAGACAGCATCCACTAACAAATTCAAAGTAATAATGAATAAAAAACAAAAAACAAACACTAGAGTGCATAAATCCAGGAAAACATTTTTGCAGTAAAGCTAATGTGCAAGTTCAGGATGTCTTGCACTGAAAAGAACGCCACTGCTCACTTCCTTGCCAGGTTAAAAAAAAAAAAAAAAAAAGTATGGCACATTTAACCAATAATATAGTAACGGAACAAGGAGCCACTAAACAGATGTTTCCATAGACTTTGCAGCTTGGCTTAATACCAATCTACAATATCAAAGAGGTCACGATTTCACAGAATCAGCAGTCCAACCACCCACACCACACAGTTTACCAACTGAGTTTTTAATTAAAGTTAGTCAGAAGACCATAGCTTAACCTTAAGGGGTTAAGTATTAAACACCTTTCCAGAGCAGAACATAGCTCTGTAAATGGTTTCATGAAGCATGATTTAAGTAAATAAAAAAAAAAAAAATTAAAAAAAATAAAAAAAAACTGGCTTTGTGTACAAGATTTTCTTATGAACATGCAACACAGAGCACTGTAGTGGTTATGGTGCCACGAGTGCCCTGGTGCCATCTCAATACAAGTAGTCAAACTGCTAACAAATACTTTGACTTTTTACCTGTGATACCCAGACCCCAGTCCCAGCTTCCATGGAGAGCTAAAAGTTTCTGCTAGTTCCCTGTGCCAGCGCATTGGCTGAGAGTCAACTGATCACAGTGAATTAAGCTTTAAACAAAAAAAAACACAACCCTCTTGTGCGTCAAGGAACACTCCAAACGCTTTAAGCACTTTATTTTACAAAACAAACATTTTAATAGAAATAGACACGTAAAGGACAACTATAGTGCCAGGAAAACAAACTCGTTTCCTGGCACTATAGTGTTAATAGGTCCCCCCACCCTTATGCCCTCCCTCCCGCCAGGCTGAAGTGGGAGGAAGGTGTTAAAATCTTACCTTTCTCCAGCGCTGGGGTCTCTCCTCCTCCTACCGACGTCATCGGCTGAATGCACATGTGTGGCAAGAGCCGTGTGCAGTCAGTCCATAGGAAAGCATTCTCAATGCTTTCCTATGGACGCTGGCGTCTTCTCACTGAAAATCACAGTGAGAAGCACCTCTAGCGGTTGTCAATGAGACAGCCACTAGAGGCTGGATTAACGTTTACGGCAGGGTTAAAACTAGAGGGACCTGGCACCCAGACCACTTCATTAAGCTGAAGTGGTCTGGGTGCCTATAGTGGTCCTTTAAAAAATTAAAAAATTCACCTTAAACACATTCAGACAACTGGTCCTGTTATTCCCTGGTACTTTAGCTCAGAGATGCCAAGCAATTGCCTTAAGACTAATGGGAAGCCATATTAGATAGCCACAGAAAGTCTGGGCTGAGTTAGAAGGGGAGGGCTTTCATAGGCTTTAGACTAGGAGTGGGAGGGATGGATCAGCGCTGTAGATATCCAACTAGAGGGAATGAAAAGAGAGCTAACACCAAGAGTAGGGATCCCTCTTTTCCTACTAATAGAAATAATAATAATAAAAAAATAAAATAAAAAAAAAACAAAAAACACACACACACACACACACTAGGGGTAGCACCACAATTTTGACACTTAGAGTGATATATACAGTATGTTTTATTATAATATATATTTAAAAATCCAAAATTGTAAAAGAAGTCTAAAAACAGAAAAAAAAACTTGGACTTTTACCATTTTGGACTTTTAAATATATATTTGTTTATTAGATAATACATACTGTATATATCCCTAGCTCTCTTTTTTCTGTGTTTAGACTAGGAGTGTCTAACCCGCAGCTTTGAACCGCTTGCAATGCTGACCAGTTGCTGTTAGGAAGCAAGGGAGGCAGGGAGCACATTAGTGTACACTTTCTGCACTGCTTCCTACACGCCCTGTAATGAGCTGGCAACTAGAATATGAAGTCTTGCCGGCATCACTGCGCGCAGAAGCAACCACTGGCCACCAGGAAGCAGATGCACTATACAAATGTGATGTGTGTGTGTGTATGCCAGTAACTGTATGTCTAGATCTGTGAAATACACACACACACACACACACACACACACACACACACACGATCCAGCACACTCACTTATCCACTAAACAGCAACTTCAATGTTGACAGATTTTTTTTTTTTTTTTAAAGACGCTTAAAGGGACACTCCAGGCACCCAGACCACTTCCATTAACCCTGCAAGTGTAATTATTGCAGTTTTGCAGTAACTTCGCTCTCTCAAACCTTCCTCTCACTCTCTTTTATAGGGACACACTTCACTATCACTTCCAGTTCTGCTACTTTCCCACAATGTCTATTTGCCGTCTCCCTCAATACCCTCCCTATTGTGTTTTTATAGCCCATCTCCTCTAGACTGGGAGCATGTTTGAGCAGGGTCCTCAGCTACCTATTGTTATTATCTCATTTGGTAAATTCCCTTTTATTGTAAAGCGATATGGAATAAACTGGCGCAAAATTATATATATATATATATATATATATATATATATATATATATATATATATATATATATATATATATATATATATATATATATATATATATATCTCCTTTGTTTTGCACCCCTCCCTGTCACAGGTGGCTCATTCCAGGGCCCTATTTGGCCTTGTACTGCAGAGAGTCTCGTCCCCCCAGTAAGTGGGTAAATCTCAAAAGGGGAAGACATTAGGCTGTTAGAGAAGAACCTGCCAAAGATGGGGTACATTGATGTTGTGGCAGGCTTATGCAATGTATGATCATATAATGTTACTAAACTCCCATTATTTTTGCCTAGATTTTGTTTTAAACAAAAAAAAAACAGGAATAAAATCTGTCAACATTGAAGTTGCTGTTTAGTGGATAAGTGAGTGTGCTGGATCTTGTGTATGGTATAAAGTGGCCCCCAGCAGCACCCCATTTATGCATGTACAGGGGAGTGCAGATACACATGTTTAAAAGGGATACTCCAGGCACCCAGACCACTTCTGCCCATTGGAGTGGTCTGGGTGCCATCTCCCACTACCCTTAACCCTGCAAGTGTTTACTGCAATATTTACATTGCAGGGTTAAGTCCTCCTCTAGTGGCTGTCTATTAGAGCAATATAAATCAAAACACACACAACCCAACATGTGTGGGTGCCCTTCAATAGTGAGTAAACATCAAGGTTTGATTAACAGGACCACGTCTATAGAATCGTATATCCCAATAATCATTGGTGGCCTTTTGTAGGCGACATTCAAGACTTTAATATACCGATCTGTCAGAAAACTAAATATAAAAATCTGCAGTGCGTACTTCATTCTGTAATGCATCCACGCTAGTCTCAATTGTAAAAATGTTTAAAAGTGGCACTAAGCAGAATAGCCACTAACTGCAGTGGTTTGGCTGCAACACCAAGCAGTTAAAGGACCACTATAGTGCCAGGAAAACTCAATTTCCTGGCACTATAGTGCCCTGAGGGTGCCCCCACCCTCAGGGACCCCCTCCCGCCCGGCTCTGGAAGGGGGAAAGGGGTAAAAACTTACCTTTTTCCAGCGCTGGGCGGGGAGCTCTTCTCCTCTTCGTCGGCTGAATGCGCATGCGCGGCAAGAGCTGCGCACGCATTCAGCCGGTCACATAGGAAAGCATTCATAATGCATAATGAAAATCACAGTGAGAAGCACGCAAGCGCCTCTAGTGGCTGTCAATGAGACAGCCACTAGAGGAAATAGGGGAAGGCTTAACCCATTCATAAACATAGCAGTTTCTTTGAAACTGCTATGTTTATGAAAAAAAAAGGGTTAACCCTAGCTGGACCTGGCACCCAGACCACTTCATTAAGCTGAAGTGGTCTGGGTGCCTAGAGTGGTCCTTTAAATAAATAGGTGTTTCCAGTGGTGGTTATGTTTGCTTGGAGTTCCACTTTACAGCATTAACTGGCTACCTCTAAACCAAGGCCTAATTCCTTGCCTTGTTCAATAACATTCCTCTAGAAAGCTACAAAACTACATTTGGCCCTTTTTCCTCAGAAGACAATGGACACAAACAGAACTTTGCAAAAGTGGATTAATATTCTGGAAAAGTAGTAGTTTGGTGGGGAGGCCTGGTTTGTTTTTTCATAGTCACATCTCAGTATCATATTACATAGTTAAATAGCAGCTATGAAGTTGAAGTAAAGTCATGCGTTAAGAAGTAGCCTTGCTTAGGGTTAGTAGAGTTTTAGGAATGGGGATGGTCCGATTTGTTGGACTGAGGTTTAGGGCACGTAAACAGATTCGGTTCATGTTAGAAGCCTCTGCCTATGTAAGAGGAAGGGAGGAAGGGAGGAAGGGAAGGAAGGAAGGAAAGAATTTTTTTATTCTCATTTGAAGGAAGAGGGGAAAAAAAAAAAAAAAGTGTAGAGGGGCAGGAGGAAGGGGAAAAATAAAAAGTAGAACACTTCATTATCCTTATCTTTGCATGAAAACAGGTTATTACACAGTGTGTAAAATAAGGAATGTGATACCTTCATATTAAAAAAAAAAAAAAATATATATATATATATATATATAAATAAAACATTTGCCATATTTACCTCATAGGGTATAAGGCCTATGCAAAAAAAAATAAAAAAAAAATTAATTTCACAGAGACATCAGAGCTGTATAGTTTGTCACACACACAGTACTACTAGAGGCATCCATGAGAGCGGCTTCCTGTTAATGATCCCAAGATAGTATATTATAAGGAACATAGAGGTCTGTGATTCACATGGGACCCCCCCAAAAAAACCGGATTATGAAAAGCCAAGAATTATTCAGCAGGGCAGACTAAGCTGCATGCACCCTCTGCAAAGAGCTTACGGCTAAAGGACTGCTGCAGATTGCTCTACCCGCTTAGCATATTTATCATTCTAACTCACCCATACACAGAAATTACAATTCTACAGGAAAAATTAATAAATGCTTCAAGGAAACAGCAAGTCATAAGTAAATTCATTTAAATTATAAAACGTGTTATCGTCTATTGTTTCACTATTTGTCCTTATGTGTCTGGGACTCAAAATGCAGCAGTTTTCAATTGAAGACAGGGGTATTGTATTTCTAAAACGAGCATTCCATTCATTAAAACCTCTCTAATATTCCCCTAGATTGCCCAATAAAAGATCCCAATGCAGTGGACTCAATAATGTGATCAATGTGCGGAAATACTCTAAAAGAAAACAAAAAACCCATCACACAAGGAAGCAATAAAGGTTTTTGAAAATGCATTTAAAAAAAAAATTAAATGATTTTCCTTATTTTAAAATGTGAGTGTCTGCAAAGGCCCTGCATAAAACACCCTGAGGTGTACTAGGATGTGGGGTAGTACTGTAGGAAAGATGTGATAAGCAGTAAATTAAGATTTCACGGTGACAGTATTCAAACATCATGCAATTCATGTATTAGAAGGTTGGCAGTTACTGTACCTTCTATCAGAATGCTTTGGAATGATGGCTTGATCTTCTCAATCTTTTCATGTCTCAAACTGTCATTCGTTTTTCAACACACTCATTTAAATACGTACGTATATTGCAGTAAAAAAAAAAATCCCCAACCAACCTGCTGCATTATCTCCAGCTCATACAGAGCCTTTATATCCAGCCTCGGCTTTCATTCGCACAGGAAGAGGGGGATTGTAGTTGCAGCATCATGTGCTCTATGTGTCTGCTTTAAATATACTCAATGCCACCTGCAACATATTCTATAAACACAGATAAAAAAAGAGTCTAGTACTTGTACTGGCAGAACCGGCTTCCCCATGAGAGCATCAATTACACGCTATCTGTGAGAGTAGGAAGGTAGAAAACTACACCTACCATGATGCTTAGCGCATGGGCTTTGGCAATGTGCTGGTGAGCTGGCAATAGGGTGTTTCTTTATGACCTCCGCGCAGAGCGCCATCTGCAGGCACAAAGAGGAAGCGCAGCCTCATGCACCACACAAAACATAACCCTGGACTTACAGATCAATAGCTATCGATCTGCATGAGTAAGGAAGATGACAGGAAGCACAGGCTTTAAGCCAGTCAATAAAAATCCCATCATCGTAATATATTTCTCAGAGCAGAGGTCCTTATCTCAGTGGTGCCATCTGCAACTTAAATTATGCTCACTTCTAATTATTTTATCCCTTTTAAAGGTGCTTACTGGGAAGTGCACACACATAGCTGTCATTTATCTGTATATCCCAGTTCTACTTGTTTAAAAAATTGTCAGAAGTGCAGTTGATGTATTCTTAATCCATCTGGGAGTCATTAAATACTGAATTGTAGTGAAGTAAAAACTGACTTGCCAAATGTAGGCAACCATAGCTGAGTTGGAAAAATTGCCCAACTCTGCTATAGTGAAGTCTAAGGTATTTTAGCCATTAGGATTTCAGTCAGGTCTACTAAAGTTAGAATTTTATTCACAATTGCATATTTCAATTAGTTGACCTATCGGTGTTACGCTAGCAACACCCTTTTTCTAGGTCCTTTTCCAGATGACCTGCCCATTGATGGCATCACTAGTGACACAAGCTGCATCACTGACAATGCCCCTCGATGCCAGGAATGCAAGATCTCCCTCTCTCTCTTTCATTCTCTTTTCTCTAGTACACGTCTAACATTTTATATATTGCCTCCACATTTTGGCTACCCAATTTTGCCTCATTTGCTTCTCAACTCAACAGTACAACCCTTTGCATGGCCTCTATCTATCTTCTCTAGTGTTTGTGAAGAAGAGGTTTCTGCACTTTTTCTTTCGTCCTGTCCTATCACGTATACTCTTGATCACATTCCCTTGCCTTACTAGATTTCTTTTGACTGCGAAAGTCTCATATGACCAGGGGCGTACCTAGAGCATTTGGCACCCGGGGCGGATCCTGTGCTTGGCCCTCCCAAAAAAACCTGTAAAATGTTAAAGGTTTTCTTTAATTAATCCACACTCCTTAATTAAACCATACCCCTTAATTAATCCATACCCCTTAATTAATCCACACTAATTCATCCACACACCCTTAATCCACCCCCCTTAATTGATACACACCCTTACTAATCCACACTACTAATCTAAATTTATACTAATACATCCTCTACTAATACACCTAATTTAATACACTCTATACTAATCCAATTCTTACTAATTCCTGCTAATACTAATCCTTCTCCTTCTTTACTAATCTACCTCTATACCAATTCAATTTCCTAATAATCTACCTCTATACTAAATCTACCTCTATACTATTACAATTTCTATAATTAATACAATTTATACTATTACAATTTCTATACTAATATATACCTCACCTATAATACTAATACTCTGGCTACTACATATATACTTATACTAATACAATTCTTATACTAATATACACCTCTATAATTGATACACTTCTATTACACATTACAATTTATACTAATATACCTACTCATACTAATATACACCTCCTTTCTCTCCTCCTTTCTCTCTCTTCTCACTCTATTTCTTTTCTTTCGCTTCTCCTCTTTCTCCCCCCCCTTCTCCTCTTTCTCCCCCCCCCACCTTTGCTGTAGCGTGGCCGAGCCCTGTATAGTTGGCGGGTACAGGGAGCTTTTGTTTCCTGTACCCAGCCGGACTAAAAGGAAGTGCACACACTGTGTGCACTTCCTGTTAGTCCGGCCGGGTACAGGAGACAGCTGCTCTCTGTACCCGCGGACCATCAATGCTGCAGGGCTCGGCCACGCTACAGTGAGGGAGCTGACAGGAGGGAGCGCTGAGCGTTTCCCTCCTGTCAGCCCCCTCTCCTCAGGCTGCGCCCGGGCGGTGCGGTCCGCCCTCATGGACGCACTGCCCAGGCAAAGCTGCAGCCGCCTGAGGCTCTCTACAGAGCGCTCGGGCGGCTGCAGCATGGGGGGGCCGGCGGGGCTGGTCATGGCACCCCCCACCCTGGTGGCACCCGGGGCGGACCGCCCCCCGACCCCCCCTTAGTACGCCACTGCATATGACAAAAATCTTTTCTCTATTTCCTCTGGCATACTTCCCTAATCCTTCAAATATACACTGATAGCACCCATACTAAAAAAAATCCTTCTCTTGACCTTGATGTTTTGCCTAGCTATCGTCCTATGTATCTCCTTCCCTGTGCCTCCTCTATTCCTTGAAAGACTTGTTTACACTTGATTTACAGACTATTTGGTCTCCAATTCTTCAGTCAACCTGCTATAGTCTGGCTTCTGCACCCATCATTCCACAGAGACTATCCTGACCAAGGTGACTAATGACTAATGCCTTAATCCAAAGGCTCTTATTCTCTACTTATTGTTCTTGATTTTTCTGCCATTTTTCAGTGTCTCCTTCTCTGGTTCCTCCTTCTCTCCTCCGTTCCTCCTTGTTTTGCAGCCACAGGACCTGGGACACTTGCAAACATTGAACTCTTTTCTATACCAGAGTATTCTAGAGTCAAATGTCAGGCCATTTGTCTGACATCTAAAGCTTGGCCAAAATCGGATTGTGACAAACTCCCCTTTTCAAGCGAGTTTGCCATGAGTTCTTGGAAGGGACTACTTGCCAGCCTTTTACCCTGGGACTATGGCCCCTGCAATAGAACTGGTTAATATACTTTAAACAGGCTTTGTTCGTGCAATTGGGACTATATGGTTCGTTTACTGAACAACCGCATGGACAGAGACCACCCTGGAGCTTGTTAACACCTATTAACAACTTGGAACGTTTCTCACCGCAGTGTTCCAATTGCTCGTCTGGGTGGCCGCGATTCCTATGAACAACCACGAGGTGGCAGCCATCTTGTTCGCATGAATGCAGGCAGTGGTGTTTGGGCATGAATCTTATGGAACTGAAATCGGATACAGAAACTCCCGAACACTGCTGAACTTCCATCATCGCCTGCATTCGTTTCTATTTAGCTTTGAAAGGCATTGTTCGGTGAGATCATTCATTTGGATGAAAGGAACAAGCTCCAGGGTAAGACTATTGACTCCGTTAGGTAGTTTGTTTGTTTGTTTGTTTGTTTGCAAACTACCAAAATAGACCGACAGCACAGCCTAATTCTCTGGAACTGTTGTGGGCGCGAAATAATGCGTGCGGTCTGTCAAAAGAGACTTCCAGGAATTTCCTGAACCCCTGCTCTGATCTGGGTGATTTTTGGATATGCTGTTCACCCAGATCAGGGCTATCAGGGGATGTAATATGTAATTTATAGGGATATGTTATGTTTTGGGGTGTTTTCTGTACTTTGGGGAAAATGTGTGTTTTTCTGCTTGTGGATAACTAGGTTATTGTATTATGTACCTTAATTGTATCCCAGGCAGAGGGGAGGGATTGTGTAATGTATGTGGGAGTGTCATTCATTGTTACACTGCTTTTATTGGCCTGCATGTTTTTTGTCCTGTGCCCCACAAGGTTCACCTGGGCATCAACCTTGTTGGAAAAATTGTATAAAAGGCCAGTGTGTCCCATTAAACTGAGATTCCTGTTTACACTTCAAAACTGTCTGTCATCCAGTTATCGGAGGGAAAGAAGATTTGCTCCTGTGTCTGCCGTTCCAGCTTGCAGGAGATTCAATGGGGAAATTCATTGTAAGGACTAGAGCTAATTCCCCATTTGGTTCCAGAGTTCCCAGGACTGAGTGTCGTTCAGTGCCTGGAGATGTCAGAGTTAATTTCCCCTTCGGCTCCAGGAGGGAGGTGGCGGTTCCAGGGCCCCTGTCAAGCTACGGCGACTTAGGGCAAGAAGTGCTGCGGTTTGTCCCCTGGTCCAGCTAGGAAGCGGTCCTTTGGCGGAGGTACCCAGTCAGGCTGCCAGGTGATCCGTTACATTGGTGGCAAGTGGCGGGATGGCTTCCTAGCTTCGGGAAAACCAGCACTACTGCAGTATGTAAGACAAGTACTGCCGGGCACTATCCAGCTTCGATGCCAGGCTCCAGCAGTGAATTTGAGATGTGCTGCGCAGTATGGAGCACTCCATCCCAGATGATAGAGAGACAGTGGAGGGTGACGCTTCAAACTGATTGCTGGAAGGAGGAAATTCGACTCTTCCGGTGTGAGGAAATCCTGACCACCGACCAGCGCCAAGCGGAATAGCTAGAACTGTGGATGCCCTTCCTGCCCCACCAGAGGAATTGGTACGAGAACTGGAGAGGCTTGTCATGACTGAAGTATTGTTGGATGAATCATACCGGGCCTTGCAGTGGCATGCATTCATTAGCTACCCAGGGTGGGTCAATCTCCAATTCATTGAGGGAGAGGACTACGATGGCCCTGGTCTTTTGTGGGAGGTTGTTGAAGATGGTATGGCGTTAGGAGACCCAGACAGTTCCCGCTTCTGGTGCATACAAGACGAGCGGGAAGACAGCTTGGGCTTTATGGAGATAGCGGAAATGCAACCAGATCTGACTTTTCTGGCTAACCTGTAGTGGGAGCTCGAACAGGACTATGCTCGCCTATTTAACCGAGTAACACCGCCTGTCTCTGACATGATTGGACTTATGGACTGTACACCACCGGGAGCATTGAGTTTCGTCCCTCATCCCCAGCAACTAAGCCTGTCATCAGGAGACCTGGGGACTGTACCACCTACTTCCCAACCAGCCCCGGAGATAAGAGACCTTATCGACTGGCCCTGGGAAGACCCCCAGTTGACAGGTGGAGATGGGACTGAGGTCTCTCCACCAGCCCTACAGGGATGCTGGGCAGCCAGCTCAGATCTCCAACCCCAGTTGGAGGTGTTACAGGGAGTGGAGACAACTGGTCTCACTCCCCAGCGGCAGTGTGAGGTCCTGGGAACAGAGACACCCGGACTTGTTCCCCAGCAGCAACATGTGTTATTGGGAGAAGAGACAGTCGGTCT